AAAGGGACTTATCTAAGAAGAAGAAGATAAAAAATATGAACAGTGAAAGGACAGCAAACTCACAGTTATTAACAACCACACCTAAAACAAAAGCAAAAGCAAACTAAGCAAGCAACTAGAACAGGAGCAGAACCGTAGAAATGGAGATCACATGGAGGGTTACCAACAGAGGATTGGGAGGGGGGAGAGAGGGGAAAAAGGTACAGAGAATAAGTAGCATAAACGGTAGGTAGAAAATTGACAGGGGGAAGGCAAGAATAGTATGGGAAATGTAGAAGCTAAAGAACTTATAACACTTGGACATGAACTGAAGGGGGGAACGTGGGTGGGAGGGGTGTGCAAAGTGGAGGGGAAAGAAGGGGGGCAATGGAACAACTGTAGTAGCATAATCAATGAAATATATTTAAAATTTTTTTAAGAAAATTACATTTGTAATTTTCAAATATAAATATTCAGAATGTAATTTTCCTATGGGAAAGATTGAACCAGCATAAGCAAATAGAATTTTCACTTTCACAGAGCCATACTGTACAGTGAGACAAAGATAAACACCACAAAACTATTTATAAATGATTTATTTTTGCTGAATATGAATGTAAGACAAGTGTAACTGTTTGAACTGCTCCTAACACCTGATACAGTAAAGCAAATATTACGTGAATGACTGTGGGATGGCTCTGATGGGAGGAGAGTGTGCCTACAGAGCTTCGGAGCATGAGCTGTAGGCACCTGGACCTGTGCATCTTCCACCAGCTCCCGGGGGAAGGGCCGCTTGACTAAATTACACTCTCTCTTCCTCACTGTCCTGTATGTTCTGCAGATCAAAGTACTTTAAACACTGCCCAGCACATCATAGACATTCAGCAGATGGTAGGGCTTCTTACATTAACGAATGTGTGTGACGCAGTCCCTTCCCTCCGACCCAGGCATCTGGGTGTCTGCAGCATCTATGAAACTGCCACCTTGCTACCGTTAAAGTGGGGCAGAACGTCAGTCCCTTCACAGACCTTGACCAAGATGAAGAATTGGAATTGTTTCGAACAGCTTGGTTATGAAGGGAAGGGACAGGCCCAGAGCTGGTGGGGGGTGTGGCATAGAGCGTTTTATTAGGGAAAGATGTAAGCATTTGTAAGTACTGATGACAAGGAGCCAATTGAGAGGGAAAGATTAAATATGAATGAGACACAGGGAAAGTAGGAAAGGGGTTGTGTGAGGTAGAGCAGTGTGTGGGCCCAAGCACAGGGAAGAGGAATTAGACAAAGGAGGACCACTTCCTTATTCCCTTATTTGTAACAAAGGAATGCAGGGAGATGGGCCCAAGCAGGTAGTTGACTTATTTTGTGTTGCAAAGTTAAGGAAGCTCTTTTCTGACTACTTCCCTTTTCTCTGGGAAGTAGCAGGTTAGGAAATTAGCTGCAGGAGAGGGATAGAGAAAGAGAAGAGTAGGAGGAAGCTTTAGGACTCATTCATTTTAGGAAGTTTAGGATTCCTTCCTTCCTTCCTTCCTTCCTTCCTTCCTTCCTTCCTTCCTTCCTTCCTTCCTTCCTTCCTTCCATAAACCTCAGTCATAGACTACTAGGCATTGTCCAAAACCTTTTTCCCATTTGGTTAGCATGCATCTCCAGATGCACACCCAACATAATGACCTTCCTAGTTCTGATGTCCACAGGCTGGTGTTTTCGAGGGTGGCTCTACATGACAGCTAAGGAAGACCAACCAAAGGTGCAGGGAGAAATTGGCACCTTAGTTTTACTCTCTGTTCTTTTGTGTTGTGTAAATATTTAGCCATTTGTATTCTTATGTAGGTTTTAAAAATCTTTATAAAGGTATAGCTAAATTCCCACTCGGATGACCCCTACTAATTGTGCTTTTTAAATTTTTATTAATACATTCTTCATGTTCATTGTTGCTAGTAACAATAAAACCAACTTACTGAGGACGTAGTTGAGTGCCCCAGTTAAGAGCACGGGATTTGAAATTAATTAAAAATACTTATTGTAATGAATGAAGATCAAAAAGCATGATGAATGGAAAGTGCTTAACCTGATACCTGCCATAGAGTTAAGATTACATTAATAATAGCTATTATTTTTTATCATCATCATCATCATCATCTATAGTCAGAACTCTGGGTTCCAACTCCTAGGAGTTGAGTTTCCATCAATAGGAATTTATTGGCTCAGGTCATTAAAAAGACCTGAGGCAGATGCACTTGCTGAATTCAAATATTCAAACTACAACAACTATGTCTTTTCTGGGCTTTACTTTATATTGGCTTCATTCACAGCACGCTCTCCCCCATCTGCCCAGCAAACCAGTAGGGAAAAATGCATTTCCTTCCCAATAGTTGCAGCAAAAGTCTTAGGTAGAACTCTCATTGGTCTTTCTTGAATTACAGCTCACTCCTTAATTAATCATAAGTCCAAGGAGATGCAATGTTCTCATTGTCCAGGCCTGGAGCTGGGCAAGGGGGACATCTTCCACCAAAACACATGGAGTAAGCATGGGTAGGAGCCAGTTTCCCCAAAGTTAGATCAAGATGCAGCTAGCAGGAGAAGGTGGAATAAATATCAGACAGGCAAAACCAGCAGATCTCCATGCTGCATGTGAGATGCAACAAACAGGTCATACTGCACCCAGGAAAATGGGTGAAAGTGAACCTTAAACTGTGACCCATTCGGCAGAAGCCTGGGTGTGGGGCAGCATAGCTTGTTCTCTTCTTACAGTGAATAAACAGAGGCAAGGCCATACTGACATGCACAGGTTTCTCCACAGGTAAGAAAACATCCCACCTCCACTTCTGTTTAATAAATTGTCATAATGCTTGAAGAAAAATACAACTGAATTTAATTATCATGAGACATGATTACTAAGGTATGAATAATGCAGACAGCATGATACAATAAAAATGACAAGACATAAATCATATCACAGATACAGTAACATAATAGCTACCATGCTTAAAGTGATTACTGTGTATGTTCTAAAGCCTTTTATCTGTTTCCTCATTACATTACCATAACTCTGTGAGGCAGGTGTTACTCTGGCCTTCACGGGGCCCCCGAGGGGCAGTGGTGAGTAGTGTTCTCTGCACACCTAATGGAGTTCTATCAGAATACACAGTTTACTTTCAAAGCTTATGGGTTTTTTAAAAGATTTTACTTATTCATTTTTAGAGAGGAGAAGGGAGAGAAAAGAAAGAAAGAGAAACACCAGTGTGTGGCTGCCTCTCACATGCCCCCATCTGGGGACCTGGCCCACAACCTAGGCATGTGCCCTGACTGGGAACTGAACTGGTAACCTTTCGGTTTACAGGCTGGTACTCAATCCATTGAGTCACACCAGCCAGAGAAAAAGCTTGTGTTTTTCAAATAGGCAATGTGACTTAACCTTTTATTCCTTGTTTCTAAAGTAAGAGATTTTGACTTAATTACCTTCAAGGGTCTTTCTCTCTTAAAAATCCTATGATTATTTAAGGCTTCACTTTTAATTTCTTGTTATTAATTTTGTATGTCTGTAAAGAAGGATTTTGAATCATTTATAACACTCCTTGATTTTTATGTATGTCTTTTATCATGGCCCAAAGAAAACCACGATTTGGGTGAGACTATTTTTCAAAGTGCATGTCATGGTCAGTCGTGTCGTGTGACCATGAAGGAAACTGGATTTGAGGGAGGTCCTTCAACGGGGACCCCACATCCAAACAATGAAACTTGCCAAAGGCACAAAGTGATTACTGTTAGAGTGGGAAAGACACCAGGATTTCTGTACTGGTTTACTATTTTATGTGTCAAGTGGGGTTTTTTGTTTTGTTTAGTGTTTGACTTACGTTGTTATTGTAGAACACTTCTATTATATTTTAAAAAGTGTTATGAGTCCACGATGGCCTAGCACAGCACAATATACTGAATCCTAGTGTTCAAGTTTGAAGACTTGGTTCTTGCCTTTAACAGCCTTGCCCTTTCTAGCAAAACCAGTGACAGGAAATAAAGAATTAATTTCAATATAAAATATTGTTGGAGGCAGGACAATGCTCCTCTCCCCACAGAGATGATCACCTAACCCTAAGAGCTTGTGCATGTGGCACCTGGCAAAGTGAAGGGGATGCTGCAGATGTGATGAAATGTAAGGGTCTTCAGTTGGGGAGATCATCCTGGATCATCCAGGTGGGTTAGGCGTAACCATACGGGCCCTTAGCAGCAGAGGTCAGAGGGAAAGGTTACAGAAGACGGGTCAGAGAGGATGGGGCTAGGAGCCAAGGAGCGTGGGAGACTCTGGCAGCTGGAAAGGCCGGGGGAATGGGTTCCTTGAGAGCCTCCAGAAAGAGAGGTAGTCCTGCCACCATGTCTTGTCACTGACGGGACCCTTAAGTGGTAAGTTTGTGTTGGTTTCTACTAAAGGAATCTAGGTTCAAGGCAGATGTTTGAAGACACTCAAAACTCCTGTTCCCTTGGTGCTTCCGGGCAGATGATTTTTGTATTTTAAAGCTAATTCACTTAACTTTGGGGTGGACTGCATACTTAATGTATTTAATACTTTTTCTTATGTGGAAACCTATTTTCAAAGCTTTTAAAAATAAATATGAGTAACTTTCCATCCTGCACCTACTATGAGCAAGTGGGTATCAGTAAATCATTGCTGATTCGAATCATGACTCAAAAGAGAAATTAGATGTAATAAGTTAAAATTACAACTATGTCACCTGCATGGCACAGTTCTTCTTTTGTAACAGTATTAGGGTCTAGTAAGGAAAGAGAGACTAAACCAATTATTTTAACAAAGATAATTTAATATAAAGAACTGTCTTGGAAAGATAAAGAACTGTGATATAGACACTATTCTTAAAGACATTTCCTTATTTCTCATTTAATGTTTATGTTTTCCTTCCTTCCTTCCTTCCTTCCTTCCTTCCTTCCTTCCTTCCTTCCTTCCTTCCTTCCTTCCTTCCTTCCTTCCTTCCTTCCTTCCTTCCTTCCTTCCTTCCTTCCTTCCTGTTTCAGGATGTTGAAGAATCACATAACCAACGCGATGGCGTTGCGGATGAATACAAGAAGATGGGAACACTTTTCGGGGAACTGAACAAGAGCCTCCTCAACATGGGCTTCATGAGGATGTGTTTTGGAGAACACACCGTGGAACCAGTGATAGTCATTTTCTTCTGGGTTCTGCTGTGGTTCCTTGGCCTCCAAGCCTTTGGACTAGTTGCTGTTCTTTGCCTTGTCATTGTTTATATGCAGCAGTAAAATATGGCCAACTGGGCTGGTATTCAGCATTTGGCAGCCATGTATGTAATCGGTGAAGTTACATATCTTACTGCATGAAAGCCAAAAAGTCTGCCTTGTTTCAAATCATGTGCTATTTTGTAATTAAACTTATAAGTGGATGTTGTTTAAAATTAAACTCAATTCTTGGTTATAACATGGTTGAATACACATTTTGCAGCTTATTCAAAACTCTTGATTTGCTAATGTGATGTGCACCCACTTTTAAACACCCCGATTCCTAGGTCAAACTTAACTAACACCGCCACAGAGTGAGCAAGAAAAATAACGGTGTGGTATTCAAATCAGGCAACAGTACACATCTTGTAAAGGGTCCCAAAAAACACTGTAGAAGAAAAAGGATGAAACGAGAAGCAAAAAATAAGTTTTAATTGGAGAAACGCTCCCCACCCACCCTCACCAAATAGCCCTGTATTATTTGGGAAATAATTTAGATCTATTGTCCCTGCTGATGCCTGACCACTGTGTGGGTGCTGATGACTGTACACCAGGTAAAGATTCTGATGAAAAGCAGGAGAGCTAGCACACCTTCTAAAGATTCAAAGGAATAGATTTATCTTTACTGGGGAAACTTCCCAAGATAAATATAACTTTTTTTGGACTTGAATGACTTCAGTATATCATTTGAAGTTCTAGAAATTTTTGGTGCTATTTACTTGTTGTGAATTGTTAAAACCTCAGAAGCCAGGACCATAGCTGACTGAAACATTTTCAGTGTCTGTTTTTTTTGTTTTTGTTTTTGTTTTTTTCAGAAATTTACCTATTATAGTTCTTTTGTAGCAATGATTCTATTTTTTTTATCTTGGCATAATCCCCCCAACTGGTTTGTGTTACAGCTGAAATACTTTACTACTCTTTTCAGAAAAAGTGAGCTTTCCCCCTAATGTGTGTGTGGGAAGGACATTGTGCTTCAGCATAAAACCAGATGCTTGAATCCGGAACTCAATAGCCAGTCATAACGAGGCTAAGGCAGTAATTGGCCAGCCGTGCAATTGCTGCGTCTTAATTCAGCATGGTGGAGTTTTATGTGGAAATAAGCATTTCTTTAAATATACTTAACTGATATTTTGGATTTTGTTGGAGACCTTAGAATCTTTACATTTTGTCCCAGAGACTTTTTATATAAACAAAAGAAGTGTAGTTAAGATAATTATCTAGAAATTCAAATTAAATCAGGAAAACGGCACAATGGGCTTTTTTATCTTTCACAGGGCAATAACTAAAGCATGTAAACTTTTTGCTACTGTACTTTGTAAAGTTTTTACGCAACCCTGTTATAAAAAAAAATGTACTCTGCACATCCTCGGTGTCTTCCATTTTGAAGCGAAAAATTAATTTAAAAGAATCAACTTAAATTCCTAAAATCAGCTCTTTTGGAACAAAAATGCCAGTAAGATAGCACTAAAAAGTATTATGTGTTTGTATAAATACAGACCTCTGAAAGTTTTACTTAAAAAAAACCTTCGTACTGTATCATTGTGATTTTATTGGGTTTGCACTGTTTTTATAGTGCTCTTTATGAACCTGGCACAGAAGCAACTTGTTGTATTTAAAAAGGTGTCTTTGTGAACATTAGGTGAGGTTTTTAATAGAAACCATAAGATCTTATATATCTATCTGCATGAAATATTTAAAAGTACATTCATTTCTAATGCCACCGGGATTTTTAATTTTCCTTTGGACTGTTAAAAAAAGAACAAAAACAAAAAGCTGTGTGTGCAATATCAGCTCTGGTTGCACCAGTGCCCAGTGGAAATATTTTGCAAGTAAGTTCCCACAGTAATGATTTGGCGTACTGTTTATACTGTGTACCCGCACATCGCTCACAGGGTATATATTACATTACATAAAGAAATGAGGCATTTGCTGTTTTTCTTTATATATTATTGTTTAGAGCAGTATGCCATCAATTTTTCTTGCTTTGGTGAGAAAAAGCTGCTTATTTGGTGGAAATAAAATATTTTCCTTTATAAAATATATTAAAATGTGAATTATATCAATATCCTAAAATACAAAGAAACTGGCAATTTCTTTAGTTTATAATATAAGGAGTAAGATAGAAAATGATTCTCAATTATTTCAATCTCAGATAAAAGCCACATTTAGAAACTGTTATTGCTTATGAATAAAGACATAAAAGTTATAATGTTATGCTATCAGATGATTGGTGTATTCATCACTCATACCACTGGCCCTTAATACAAAGAAAGACCTACAAATAAACTGACTGCAGATGAATTTTACAAATTTTTAAAAATTTTTCTCATTTTACAAATAAGGAAACTGAGACACAGAGAAGTAATTTTGCCCATGGCCACATGGCTTGTTAACAGTGGAACCAAGATGTGAACACATAGACCTACTTTATTCTTCCTAATGACTGCATGGTGTGCCATAATATATATGTACCATGATTTGTTTAACCTGAGTCCTATTCATAGGTATGTAGGTTTTTCCAAGATTTTTTTCCAAAATGCAAATTTATGCTACCATGAATATCTTCATGCTGTCATCTTTGTGCAAACATGTAAATATTTCTTTAAGTTATATTTTAGAAAGTGGAATTCCTGGATGAAAAAATACATGCATTTTTGGTTTTTTGAAGAACTGTCAAGTTATTCATCAACTATTTTACCAATTTACATTTCTACCTATAGTATAAGAGAGAATCAAAATTTTAAGAATCTTTCCCACAAGATAATACTGGGGAAAGCAACCAAGATGCACCTGTGGCCTTAGTGATAACCCTGGAGAAGTTCTTAGTCCAACAGAGAGATGGGGTAAGAGCAAGAGGAGGAGTTGAGTGCATCTGTGACCCACCTGAGCATGCTGTGGGGGCACAGAACTGGAGCACAGCTGGAAGAGAGATGAGAAGACACAGAAGACTGAGGACAGAAAGAAGAACCAAGTAAGAAAGTATTACCCAGCAGATGAATTTGAGGGTGATGAAGGTTAAGGAACAAGAAAGTGTAGGCAGGAGAAACCTGGAGGACTACAGCAAAGTGAAAACTAACCTTGCTGCTGGGACCACTCCTGTTCATGAAAATACAGTCAGATGAGGAGAAAAGGAAAGCACTTACTAGTTAAATAAGTTTACAGAAGAGATGAGTCTTCCGTCCTCAGTGCACATCTGCTTCCCTGCCAAGATCCAGCTGCTGACTGTGATCTGCAGGTGAAGGCTTCCTTGAACTCCGATGAACAAGGCGGCTGTTTCCTTGGGCCCCTGGGGCCGGTCTCAGTGGCTGCTCTTCTTCATACATTAGTCACCACATTGTCAACCCAGCTCCTTGAGTGCAAGGACTGTGTCATGTTCGCAGTCTTCTCCCACTCACCTCATTGGAGCAGAGCATCGGGTAAATATCAGAGGGGTAGGTGGCTGCAGGGGTAAAAAGAGATGAATAAATCAATTTTCCTTAAGTAAAAACTCATTATTTGCCCTGGATGGTGTAGCTCAGTGGATTGATCGTGGGCCTGTGAAGCAAAGGGTCACCGGTTCAATTCCCAGTCAGGGCACATGCCTGGACTGCAGGCCAGGTCCCCAGTAGGGGACACATGAGAGGCAACCACACATTGATGGTTCTCTCCCACTCTTTCTCCTTCCCTTTCCTCTCTCTAAAAATAAATAAATAAAATATTAAAAAAACCAAAACTCATTATTTTGTACAATTCCTTCCTCTTGCGTCTTCAGCTGCCACACACAAGGCATCTCCCACTGCTGGTTCTGGGTCCCGCGGGCACCCAGGCCAACCTGGCCTCTGTGCAGATACCTTCCCAGGCTTCGCCTTCGGGGATGTCAAGTTGAAATTGTCTGGGGCAGGAGTATTTACACTGTAACAACTGGCGAATACAACGGATCAGGGCTCCTTCCCCTGTCCGGCCAGTTGTTAAACCTGTATCAACACCCCACCGATCAGCCACTCTACCGGCCACATTCCCACTGCTGCGCCTCCTGAAAAAAAAGGAAGCTACTGAGGCAAGTCCCCACTGACCTAGCCAACACTGTCCGGGGGTCTTTTCCATGTGGAAGTCCTGACCAGGTAGTCTTCTGACCATCATCTCTCTATGGATCGCATGCTTTCAACAGAGAAGCCTCTGGGGGCGGCCAGGAGCTGGGTCCGCAGGGAAGGAGGGCCACACGCAGGCCCGCAAGCAGGTGGCAGCCTGAACGCAGCCCTACTGTGGGGTGGGAGGCTGCACAGTCAATGCCTGGGCTGAGCCACCAAGGCTGTTTGTTTGGCTTGAGCATTTACATTTTACATTATCTTACAAATGTTTATTGATTACAGGTTACTTAAAGTGTTTTCATTGACAATTCATTGCTTTACAAGCTGAAAGAATAGAAGAAAATCCCAGTTTCATACCTGCTAGCACTTCTAGTAAAAGACTTGGCCGAGGAGAATATAAACTGATGTACAAAGTATGACTTCGGTGTTATTACTGGACTTGGGGTATTTGGTAACTCTTACTTTTTAGTCAAACCCTTATTTTTTGGTGTTCTTTGGGTTCCGACAGCCTGCTCCCTCATCACTCTCTACATCACCTTGGACAACGTCTCGCCTCCCATGGCTGCAGTCACCTTCCATACTAACCACACCCCAGTCTGCATCTCCAGTTCAGAGCACAGTGCAGAACATAAGGCCCACACGTTCAATTGCCTGCTCCGTGTTTGTACCTTCAGACCTGTGTGTCTAAGGTACATAGCCATACAGGACTGAAGGTACCTGCATTTCCAATCTCAGCAAATGACTCCATCCCCTCCTACACTGCCTACATGTCACCAACAACCAAGTCTCTTTTGCTTCCTAGATGTGTCTTTAGTCTTCCTGCTCTTTCCATTCCCAGCATCACTGCCTTAATCCACACCACCACCATCTCACCTAGATGGTCACCTCAGAATGCTAACTGATTTTCCTGCCTTCGTTTTTCCACTTTATAGTTAGAAAAATACTTCTAAAACATAACTCAGATCTTCTTGGCCTGAATTTTTTCAGTGGCTCTTGATGCCCTTATTACTCCTTAATATGTCTTACAAGGCCCTTTCTGAACTAATAAGTCCATTGGATAGGGCCTCACAAGACATCAGGACAAACCATAGCCAGTGTTTGTCTGGGGAGCTGGGTACGTTTCATTCCAGACATAGGTAAGTCTGTGCTTTTTGCCAGCTTTCCCAAGTTCCAAAGCATTTTGAATTTTCAGACTTCTAGAGCAAGCTTAAACTAGGAATTGCAATGGCCGAGCAGAACTCACTTGTACAGAAACCTTATCCCCTCCTCTGTCCACTCAACGCACTATTGCAATTGATTTATGACTTAGAGATTTGGCCCTAATCATTACTTTTCTATATATTTTTAGCACAAAAGATCTCAGTGGCCATATTTGGTAATTCAGTAGGCACTTGAAAAGAGCTTTCTCCAGGCTTGGCTCAGAATATTTTGGGGACCCTTAAGAGTAATTTTAGCTGCTATTTTTATCTCTGGAATCTGAGGAGTAAGCAAGATCAAGAGAAACAATGGCCCCGAGCCAATCAGCAAAACTGTAGCAGCTTTGAGCCTTAACTTCTCCCTTTAGTTACAGTAAAACCTCTGGACAACATGCAAACCAATGTTCAGATAAGAGTGTCTCTTTATGTCAGACTTGGATATAAGACTCCAGTTAATAAATGTACAATTTATATGAGTCCTAAGCACATTTCTTTAAACTCCAAGACTCTCACCTATAAAAATAGGGTAATTGTTATGACTGAGTACGTTATTGCATATCTTAGCTAGCACCTTACAATCATAGCAAATAAACACTACTCATTATTATTAAATATAAACATTCACACATAAGAGAGGATGTTCTTCACTATCCACAGAAAGCTCAAACATTAACAGCCATAAGAGATCTGATTATTTTGTACTTCCAGCCAGGATGGAGGTGTAGGTAGTACACTTTGCCTCCTCACACAACCAAAAAAAGGACAACAACAAATTGAAAAACAAAAAGTAACAAGAACTGCTAGAAAATTGAATTGTATGGAAGTCCGACAACCAAGGAATTAAAGACAAAACATTCATCCAGACCAGTGGGAGGGGCAGAGACAGGCAGCCGGAGTGAAGAGGACTCACAGCAAGGCAGCTGCTGGAGGAGTGGGGCAGGCAATACAGCAGCTCATGGAGCAGCAAAGGTGGTGGCTGGTGGAGTGGGAAGTCCCACATCTGCATGCAGAGAAACCAGGAGGAACAACAGGGCAGCGAGACAGACCGTGCAACCAGAGCTCCAGCATGGGGCAATAAAGCCTCAAAGCCTCTGACTGGAAAAACCATGGGGGCTTGTGGTGGCAGGAGAAACTCTCAGCCTCAAGGAGAGTTCATTGGAGAGACCCACAGGGTCCTAGACTGTACACAAATCCACTCACCTGGGAATCAGCACCAGAAGGGCTCAATTTGCTTGTGGGGAGTGGGGAAAGTGACCGAAAGCCAGAGGGCTGAGCAAGTAGCACTGTTCCCTCTCTGCTCCCTCCCCCACACATAGCACCATAGCTCTGAGATGGGGGTTGCCTAAGAAAATACTTATGGCTCCGGCCCCTACTACATAACAGGTGCACCTAGGTGAAAAAATACAGCCCAAATGAAAGAACAGATCAAAGCTCCAGAAAAAATACAACTTAGCAATGAAGAGATAGCCAGCCTAGCAGATGCAGAGTCCAAAAACTAGCAATCAGGAAGCTCACAGAAATGACTGAGTATGATCTCAAAATAAAGGAAGAAGTGAAGGCCATAAAAAGTGAAATAAAGAAAAATGTACAGGAAACCAACAGTGACAGGAAGGAAACCAGGACTCAAATCAATGGTTTGGAGCAGAAGGAAAATATAAACATTCAACCAGAAAAGAATGAAGAAACAAGAATTCAGAAAAATGAGGAGAGGCTTAGGAACCTCTGGGACAACTTTAAACATTCCAACATCTGAATCATAGGGGTGCCGGAAGGAGGAGAGGAAGATCAAGAAATTGAAAACTTATGTGAACAAATAATAAAGAAGAACTTCCCCATCTGGCAAAGGAAATAGATTTCCAGGGAGTCTAGGAAGCTCAGAGAATCCCAAGGAGGTTTGACCCAAGAAAGCACACACCAAGGCACATCACAATTACATTAGCCAAGAATAAAGAGGAGAGAATATTAAAAGCAGCAAGAGAAAAGGAGACCGTTACCTACAAAGGAGTTGCCATCAGACTGTCAGCTGATTTCTCAAAAGAAAGCTTGCAGGCCAGAAAGGGCTGGAAAGAAGTATTCAAAGTCGTGAAAGGCAGGACCTACATCCAAGATTGCTCTACCCAGCACAGCTATCATTTAGAATGGAAGGGCAGATACAGTGCCTCCCAGATAAGGCCAAGTTAAAGAAGTTCATTATCACCAAGCCCTTATTATATGAAATGTAAGGGGACTTATCTAAGAAAAATAATAGGTGGGAGGGGGATTACAGGGTAGAGAGGAATAAAGGGGAGGGGAAAATGGGATAGCCGTAATAGCATAATTAATAAAAATATTTTTAATAAAAATATTTTTTAAAGATCTGATTATGTTATTGTTGCCAATTCCTGATTCCTCATGATTAAATCTTTGTGAGGTCTCTTACAAATTTGAACTATTGGTGCTTCGTGAATCAAAATGACCACAAAAATAGGAAGAGAAGGCCCTAAGCAGTTGAAGAGAAGCTTCTGCAGCTGTCACGACACTCTTGTGACCTGCTGCTGCTTTTTTTTCACTTCAGTGAAGTTAGGTGTGGAGTCACCCTCACCAACACAATTCTGCTTTGCTTCGGAAATTCACAAAACAAAGTCAATTTTGAAAATAGTTTTCTAAGCCTGGCTGGTATAGCTCAGTGGATTGAGCACAGGCTGTGAATCAAAGGGTCACCGGTTCGATTCACAGTCAAGGCACATGCCTGGGTTGCAGGCCAGGTCCCCAGTATGGGGCACATGAGAAGCAACCACACATTGATATTTCTCTCCCTTCCTTTCTCCTTCTCTTCCCCCTCTCTAAAAATGAATAAATAAAATCTAAAAAAAAAGAAAATACTTTTCTAAGTTGTACTCCATTGTATAAACCAAGATATTATGCTATGTTTATAGAATCACAAACAGTATCTTGATTTGATTCCGAAGTGAAGTTCCAGACTAATCTGTTTGTTTATGTTATGTAATGTTTTCAATGCGCACTAAAGATGTGTTGTGGAAAGAAATATGATTGCACACTAGCACTCTCACGTTAAATATTCAGTACATGCCAGGACACATGGGTACATTCTATGTGCAGGTAGATCATGTAAGCCAGTGAAGACTAGTAATACATAGTGCTTAAAAGTATTATCCATATCTTCAAAAAGTCTTATCTTTTTAAACCGTGACAACATGCTAAAACCTGTTATAAATTTGAGCCAGGTTTATTTTTCAAGTCTTCAGTTACACAGTTCTGTTGGGTTTTCCGCTCCTATTTCCTTTTCTCTCAAGTACTTTTCTCCACCGGCAAAGTGAAACTTTCTCAATTCAGGTGTTTACAGATATGAATGTGGTGTAATGAGCTATGGAGTCTTTACCTCTGGCTTCTGGTGCATTTCCAAACTGGTTCTCCCACATTTTCCTTCCTGGTCAGTTTTGCTGTGGATATTTTTATCAGATACTAAGATACAGCGGGTGCTGGCCACACACAGGCCTCCCCAGCCGTTTCTCCCGGTGCGCCACGGCTCCATCTGCGGCGCAGACACTGACCCAGGTGCGCGACGGGCTTCCTCAGGAACCTGGCCCGAAAAGGCCTCAGGCTAAACAGAGCAGACATCATTTCTGCAATGCAGAAAGACTTAGACGCAAAAGACCCGAACATCAACACCTGTTTTAAGTTGCAGGTGCTCCCCTGATGCCATTTCCAAGGGCTAGGGGTTCCTGCTTCCTACCTGCCAGACGGGTAAAACACACTGCGCCAACCCAGCTGTTCACCGGATCAGCCCCTTCCTGGACCAGTGGCTGTTGGAAATGTTCACACCAGGAGAAGTGGCTCTCATGAACCCTAACACTGTACCTACGTCTCCCTTGCCATCCACCCTGTTTACCTGAAGATTCACTGCTCCTTCAGTTCTGGGCAGGGATTTGCTCCTACAGAACTGTGTTCATCAGTGCGGCCCAATCCTCAGAGTTGGCCTAGAGACTGGATAACGATTTTCTGCAGTAGATTAGGTGCGTATGATCTTAGCAAGACTGAAATTAAACTTGCTGCGAGGCACGGTCTGCTGCCAACTTTTAAATTTAAATACAGGGCAAAGAACATCACATTTACCTTAATACAGCCACAGATGAATAAATACCGAAAGAAGCATAGATGTGTGTGTATACAAGCAGCTAGTATTTAAGTAGCTTAGGCACCCGCAAAATATGCCATTTGACACACTTATTTCCTTTATTTTGAGCCGAGGAACTTGGAAAACAACAAGTGCAGGAGAGACTTTCTCTGAACTCCCGGTTCTGCCGGACGGCTTCCGAGAGGAGGAGCGCTGTGGTCGCAAAGCCGCTCCTGAGAGTTTCACCAACCAGGCCACACCAACGACGCCTGTCGCGGCAGAGGGACTAGAAGTCAGCGTCATGCCAGACACACTTTGTCAGAAGTTACCATTCACCCACCTACCAGCTCTTCTACGGCCCCACTCATCTCTCCTGAAAGTGCCCACTGTCCCCAGTCTGCCGATGTCCCCACCCCTCCCACTAGTCAGATGGTATTGAAGTACTGAAATCTCATTGATGGGAGAGGCCATTTTTTCCTGCAATTGCTGCTGTGCAGGTAACGGTAAAATGTGATGAATGCTCATGCACCTACCTGTGTTCCTCTTCAATCCGCGTGTTATTAGTTTACTGTAAGATCCAGCTCCTGAACCTGGGGGAACAGTGGGAAATATTCCTTTCCTTACTGCGCACACACAGTTATCTCCAAGCCGGGAGCGCGTAGAAGTAACAATGCCCAGTAGTGACCGGAGCTTTGCTGCCTGTGAGGGAGGAAGCTGGGCTCCCTGGAGAAAGGGCTGATCCCAGGGCTGTGCGGGGGGATGTTCAAGATAGCAGGAGGACTCTTGTACTTCCACAGAGTCAGAAAGTGCCAAGTCTCACACACACACACACACACACACACACACACACACAAACACACACACAAAATATAAAGGCCCCTGAAAGAGCTCCCAATAACCAAAACTGGAACAATTAGAGCAATGCATTATATAAAACAGTAGAGGATTGTAACTCAAAGTAAAAATAAATATCCATGATTTTATCCTGATAGTATAAATAAAGGATTCCATGAATAAATTTATGGGGAGAATAGACAAATCCCCCAGAGAGAAGAATTCCAAATCATTTACATGGACAAGGTCCCCTCCAGAAGGTGGAGCACAGCGCCCCCCCCCCCCCAAGGAAGGTATAGTTGGGGTAGGACAGTAACCTCACAGGGAAAAGCCCGACAAACACAGCATCAGCTCCTGGCCTGCAGTGATCGCGCCTGTCCACCCACGCACCCTCCACAGGACAGGGTGAGAATGTCGCTCCACATCGGGGGTCTTCCTCTCCAGAAACCCTAACTCCAGACCCATTGTAGGGAAAACCTCTCAAAAAACCAAACTACACTTTCTACAGAAAGTGTAGACACTTGCTACAGAGTGTCTGACAGGTACCCTCAGAACAGTCTAGGTCAGTAAAAAGGAGGGGAGTCTGAGCGGCGGGTCCCCACCGGTGGAGTCTGCGGAGACGTGGCTGTCAGATGTGAGAGCACAGAAAGGGCTCTGGGGCAGAAAAGGGACAGTGAGAAAGCAAAGGAATTCTGAATAAAATATGGACGGTAATAAAAAATCTGTCAATATGTGTTCATTATTTGTGACAAAGGCACTACACTATAAGGATAAATGTAAGTGCAAAATGTTAACAGTAGGAGAAAAGGTCTGCCGGACACACAGAAAACGTATGTACAAACGTATGTGCAACTTTTCCAGAAATCTAAAACTATTCCAAAGTTCAAAGTATATTTTTAAAAGTAATCTAACAATTTCTGCCTGGATCCTTAATCATGTCAGTAACTATGTATAATCTCCTTTACTGTAAACGTAGTGATTTGTGTTATTGTACAACTCAAGTTTCTAATGGCTTCTCCTTTTTTAAACACTTCTCTTTTTTTTAAGAGTTTGTTTTTATTCACTTTTAAAGAGAGTAGAAGGGAGGGAGAAGGAGAGGGTGAGAAACATCAGTGTGTGATTGCCTCCCATGCCCTCCCTTCTTGGGACCTGGCCCAAACCCAGAAATGTGCCCGCCCTGACCGGGAATCAAACCAGCGATCCTTTGGTTCAAAGTCCGGCTCTCAATCCACTGAGCCACTCCAGCCAGGTCTAACCTCTTCTTTTTATACATTGTTAAATAGCAGCCATATAAAATACACATTAACTCACTCTTCTTTGAAAAATTATGGATCTGTAACTTTCCATGTGAGCATTTGATTAATATTTAATACTTTTCCAGGGCAGGGAGAAAGAATAAGAATCTGAATGTCTAAAATACAAAGCAGTTAGCTCACACCCAAGGGAGCCTATGGGTTTGATTTGTCTCCTGTACTTCTGGAGCTTCCTGCTGGGTGTGGAGTGTGTCTGCAGAGCCGCCTGGCGGGCGGTGCCGGCTCGGAGGTCCGGAGATGCCCTCCAACCACCGGGGCCTCCCGGACAGCCCAGTCTGCCCATCAGGGAGTTCCAAGGCTGGAGACACAGTTAAAGTCTTTCCCGGGCAGATTCCCGGGTTGCGATCAATATGTAGTGGTGGGTCATGGGTCGTGAGCCTGGCGAGCCCCCATGCATACACGCCCAGCCACCGGCATCCATAGAACCCACGTCACGAACGGGACTCCCAAGGGACATAACAGTGTCCCCTGGTTACTCTGGAGTGGGAGGCTTCATGAGGGCTGACGACTGCTTCTGACCGCAGCGCATGCTTTCTTCACACGAGCAGATTGGGTTGGTGAGAATTTGAAAACATTTCTGTCTATCTTCAGTGTATTCTCTCTCCTTTTTTTTGAGGGTTGGCTTCTCCAACTATCCAGTAATGACCGTGAAGGGCATCTGGACACTGAACAGGTGACAGGAAGAAAGAATACGGCACTTGCCGTCCATCCCTGACTCCTGCCCTCCGGCAGTCAGGCTGCGCCTCAGTTTTCCCCTTTGTAAGCGTCAGTTACAGGCAAGCCATTATCAGGTAAGATTTAAAAAACATCTTGACTTTGATTAAATTTTAAACATAAATGAATTTGGTTATATTTATTTATTAAAATTAATATATTTACTTAGAATATTTATTATATTTACTTATTTGTACATACATTTTCTAGGAGATATAGTAAGCTGTTAACAGTGGTGATCTCTGAGTGGTGGGCACAATTTCATTCACTGTATTTTTCAGACCATAAGACACACCTAGGTTTTAGAGGAGGAAAATAGAAAAAAATGTGTTAAAATATTTAATAACATAGATAACATAATAGTTCACCAATGTAAATGTGATCAGAACTCAGTAGCAGCATTAACAACCGTTATTTCTCTCAGAAGGAGGGGTGCATCTTATAGTCCAAAAATGCCATAATTGTTTCTGCTTATTTCCTACAATACAGTACCTGTACATGAATAATAAAAGGTTATTGTTTTTAATGTATGTGAATGTATTCACCTTCCACCTGATCTCTGCCTTGCAGAAAAGTTATTTTTTAAAGGGTAATCTATTTAATTAAGAAAAAAAGAAAGCTCAGGCACAGTTGACAGGATGGTGGTCATCAGAGAAAAAGTGTGGTGGGGGAAGCAGAAAAAGGTGGGGGGGGTCGGTGGGGCTACAAGGAGACTTGACTTGGGGTAGTGAACACACCATACAAAATATAGGTGATATATTGTAGAATTGTACACCCGAAGCCTATACATGTTTAACCAATGTCACCCCAAAAAGAAAGAGCCCTGGCTGGTGTAGTTCAGTGGATTGAACACAGGCTGCAAACCAAAGTGTTGCCAGTTCGATTCCCAGTCAGGGCACATGCCTGAGTTGTGTGTCAGGTCCTCAGTAGGGGGCACGTGAGAGGCAACCACACACTGATGTTTCTCTCCCTCTCTTTCTCCTTGCCTTCCCCCTCTCTAAAAATAAATAAATAAATACCTTTTTAAAAGAAAGAAAAAGAAAAGGTAATTTATTTAATTGAAGAGAAAAGGTGCTGCAAAAATGCAAACTAAGGATGTTAACAAACTGAGTTTCTATTAATAATTAAAATGCTTCTCGAAGTTTCCCATGACGTGTTGGCCTTCAGGATGGAAATTTTCAAACAGCTTTCGTTGGCTGACATAAAAACTGCAGGAGTGGTCAGCCGGAGCTGGCAGCGGGGCTCGGTCACAGGTGGGTGGTGGCAGGAATGACAACCTTCTGCAGCGCTCCGGCCACAGTGCGCGTGGCCCGGCCCTAAGTGGCCCCTGGGAAAGGCGCATCAGGTCGGGACAGACCAGCACTCCGCTGAACACTATTCGAACCGAGGCCATTTTATCACTGGCTATTCGAACCTAACTTTTACAGTTGTGTGTTCAACTGTTTGCCTACCTGGGATCCCTTAATAAAAGCTTAAATTCTGGAATCCCTGAAAACATGCTTCAGAAAGTTCCCTTCCTCGCTGCTCCCCCTCCGCCGCAACAGAGAGCCCGGGAGGGGCCCAGTCCCCCAACCCCAGGCTGGGACACGAACCTGCCGCAGCTTCTGGCGGGCTCAGCCCCGCGTTTCCCTCCAGTCGGCGACAATTCCTGTTTTACTCTAATCACGTTAACAGTAGACCCACAATTCTTATTCCTTAAACATTAATCCTGCCCTCTCTGATAACTCAAAGTGCTTTGCAAACCTGCTCCACTGGGCTTCGCCCCATTTGGCCAGCCTGGAACTCTGTGTCACTGCGCAAAGGATCAAAGTCGGCCGCTCGTCTGGCCCTCAATCCCAGGCTGTTTCCTTGTTTTCCTCCAAGGACACTTGTGCAGACGTTCGAACACGGCAAAGTAGAAAAGCACATTTAAATACATATTTTAGACGTTTTCATTATTCATTTTCCATATTTTCTCAAGACAACGATCAAAGTAAAAAATTCCCACCTGTGTGCTCCGCAGACATTTTCAAGGGGAGCAGTTTGTGACTTCATGTGCCATGTGCTTTTTTGTTTTGTTTCAGAGGTCTGCCTTTTCTGGCTAGGGTTTAGGGTCAGAAGTATTGCTCAGATTAGTAACAGAACTTGCCCACCTGACTCTGGCCTCTTCTGCCAGACCTGGAATTAAGGCTCCTGGCCACCTGGTCGTGGCATTGCTCCCTCGTGCCTTCACATTGCAGCTGAAATAAAGTTAACAGTTGACTATGATCTAATCGTAGTCCAAAAGAAAAATAGCCACCAGTACAAAGGACGTTTGAGGAGGAGTTAATGATGGTGATTCAGTCTCAGAAAAACCCAGAGACTGAAATAATAATAGACCATGACTTTGTGTATGCATTCACCATAAACTGATACTTCCTAAAGATGAATCTAAAATTTAGAAAACAATTCATGGAAGAAAGTTAAAAATACTGGTGAAATAAGCATAGTCCTAATCTGTGAAGACTGAAATCTAACTTGTTTTACATGTGACAAAGCCTAGGACTCTTTACACACTAAATACTCTCAAATTAAATTCCTAATCCCAATAATTGTCTTTTAGAAATCTTGTCACCTGCATTTTTTTGCTGCAATAGAGGACCGTTTTAATAAAGGGGGATGAAGGAGATGCTGCTGTTGGAAAGAACTGGAAACTGGACGGAGGGAAAGCGTGGAAAAACTAGTAAATTGGTGGCAGACAGAGGGCGCCAGACAACTTTAAATGACGACAAACAGGCACTGATAACGAATTCAATCCCATTCAAAAGAAAAAAGGCTGTTAATAACTGTGAGTTTGTTGTCCTTTCACTGTTCATGTTTCTTTAACTTCTTTTTCTTAGATAAGTCCCTTTAACATTTCAAACTAAAAGGACAGCTAGATCAGGAGTGGAAACATAGAAATGAAGATCTCAAGGAGGGTTAGCAACAGGGGAGTGGGAGGAGGAGAAGGGGGGAGAAGGTACAGAAAATAAGTAGCATAGACAGTAGATAGAAAATAGATGGGGGGGCAAGAATAGCATGGGAAATACAGAATCTAAAGGACTTGAGACACATGCTCATAAACTAAAGGGGGGGTAATGGTGGGGATGGGGGGTAGGGTGGAGGGGAATGAAAGGGGGAAGAGAACAACTGTAACAGCATAATCAATAAAAAAAAGAAAAAAAAAGAAAAAAGGCCATTAAATCTACTCCATGTTTTTGCCCGAAGGTGGAAGCTTCCTAAGTGCTTCCGGCTACCCTCGGGCAGGTAATCTGACTACTAGCTCCGGCCTGACTTTAAAGTAGAGAGACGATAGATGATTAGATAGATAGATAGATAGATAGATAGATAGATAGATAGATAGATAGATAGATAGAGATAAAATAAAAAGAGACAAAAAGAGCAGTTGGTTCCCGGAGGGAGGAAGGAAGGGGTGCGCAGGCCTGAGCGCAGGCTTCCACTGACTCTGTCCCTGCGCCCGCAGCGCCGGACCCTCCGGCCTTCAGCCCTTCTCTGCGTCACTGAGTCCCGCGGCTTCAGCTTCTGCCCCGCCCTCAGCCCCTGGGGACTGGGGCTGGCGGCGGAAGGGTTTCCTCCAGTCCCCTGCGGTGGCCCGGGCCTCTGCTAGTCGTCCCCGCAGTGGCAGCAGAGCCGGGCTGGGCCCTGCGAGCGGAGTGTGCCCCGTCCCTCCCCCAGCTGCTGGCGGCTTTGCTGTGCTCGTGAGAAGAGTGAAGTCGGTGCCAGATTTTCACGTGTGTGTCCTACCGAGGGGCGTGCTCTTGGATCTGCTCCCCGCACCCCGTCTTTCTTGGGAGCCCCGGGGAGAGGGCAGTGGAGAAGAATGGTGCGTGAACGAGGCTCCGCAGTTCCCCGAGATTCTGTCAGCCTCTACAGTTAAATCTTTGGCTGTTTGTATTTTCAACTCTGCTTTTATGGCGGCCACCTCTTCCTTCGGTGCTCCGCCAAAGGCTAGAGAGAGCATCGGTGCCATTTCTCCTTGGGAGGACTTGTTTCCCTGCAGAGTTTATCTGACTACCTGGCCGCCTCAGTTCTGTGCTGGGTTCGGCAAGAGCTGGGATTCGCAGATGGCCCTGTTCTTTTCCACTGTCCCGGTGGCAGAGTGTGTGTGTGGTGAGGGACTTGCAGGGAGATACATGAAACAAGACTGGCAAAGGATGATAATTGTTAAATAGTGCTGGGCAATGGGTGTCATATTTTTCTTTTCCTAATCCTATATATGTTTGAAATTTTCCATAATAAAAGTGTTCCAACGGTTCCCAGAAGGTTGAAACACTGGAGAGATTAGGTTTTATATTCTAGAAAGTGCTTTATAATTAATTTTTATTTTAAAATAGAATAGTGTCTGGTAAACTGTATTTATAAAGTGAAGGTTTCCACGTCTAAAAAGCAGAAGAATGTAAGAAGCGGTGATGAGGAACTCAGCCTGATCATTAACTCCTAAGCCCTGACTATCCCATTCCCATCCCATAACCTCTGCATTTAGCAATCTTCCCTTTGGCCGAGGCTGTTAACTTTATTCGTTGCACAGAAGTTAATTTTTTTTGTAGAATGAGCTCTGAGTATTTTATTGCCAGCTACTGCAGACACTCGTGTAGATATCAGTCCTGGTTGAAAGGACCCTGGGGAAGAAGCTTTATGAAATACCCCAGCCCTTGATGAAAAAGATCCTCCCAGTTCTTCAGTCTCTCTCGCTGGCTCTTCTTTGAGTAACTGCAGTGTTCCTAGTTCTCAGCAGTGTGGTCCCCTGTGAAGTGCACAGTGTGCGCCCAGCACGTGGCTGGTCCTGTCCCCTTCACACCACACAGCACCTGTCGTTTGCACAGGTTCTCTTGTGGCCTCATCTGCTGCTTGCCCTGCCTCTCACTTTCACTGTCTCTAGGTCTAACCCTTGTCCAGGTCTAGGGCCAGGTTCCAACATATTTCTGGACTTCCCCATATTATCCTCACCTGCACCTCCAACAACATGTCTGACACAGAAAACATACTATTTATGCCATTCTAGGTGCCTCTTCATATCATGCCAGAAATTACATGCTAAAATATTACCACAGAAAATAATACAGCATATTGCAAGTCACTCGAAATATTGAGAAAATTCTAAACACCTCAAAATCTATAAAGTTGTATTTTTAATGATGTGACATTCTCTTATTTATGTCATTGACCATGTTTAAAGAAAAAACAAAACCTATCACTTTTTGGCAAAACAGCTGAAAAAATCATCACAAAATATAAGAAATACCCACTAAACATGTTAATAAGCTGCCATAAGCTGAATGCATGAAAATGTAATTCCTGAAAAGGAAAAACTCCCCACAATTTGGCAGAGGAGATTAAAATCACTCTCTGAGTTAATTTTTACAGTGTTAGAGTGTTGCCCTAAATTCCATCAGAAAGACTGCTCCATAATTTTATCAAAAGACTAAAACAATAAGTTTGCTATTTCTTATTACTGTCTACAGTGATGTCATGCTGTGTAACCAAAGATTACAGACCAAATATATGACCATGATCCCATTAGGTTATGACACAGCTGAACAGCTCCTCCCTACTTGGTAGCTGCCTCACACTGGTAGCGCATCAGTTACCTTTGTGGGAAAGCTGGTGTAAACAAGCCTGCCATGCTGCCTGTCCTATAGAAGCACAGCACACACACTTATGTGCAGCACAGAATGCCTGATGATGATGATCAAGCATGTTACTCGTTGATGTGTTTACTACATGGACAAAAATAAAGAGGGTTCTGTAGAGAGTAACCTCCCGCAGTGGTCTGATCATAAATCCCTAACTGGGCGGGTCAGGGTGGGCAGTCCCACCCCCAGGCTAGACCTCCTTTAGTGAAGGGTTTCAAGCCAACCCTGCCCATTATTCCTGTGCATGGTGGTCACACACCTTTAAAATTCCAGGAGCGATACCCCGCAGGGCGTAGGAACCCTGAAGGAGGCACATGACCTTCTCAACCGTTCTGTAATCCATTCCTGCCTTGCCCTCTTCCCCCTCCATGTAATCTTCCTACTCCCCTCAATTTCAAAAGCATAAAAGGAAATGCACAACTGTTATTCTCAGGAGCATTTGAGCTCTTGCTCCCTGGCTCATATTGTCAGTTTGCCTTAAACTCTTAGGAAACTTCTCCATGAGTGTGTACACTTCTTACGTTGTCACTATGCTGCAAGGTGGGGCAAACGCAGGTTCACATTAAGTATGGAAAATACAGTCATTGGTATGGAAAGTAACACAATAATAAATAATAATGCAAGAATAAACTCTGTGTTTCACATCCCACAACTGCAAACCTACTTTTGTCCCACTCTGTATACTTTTTATCATTATTTTAGAATGTACTATTTCTATTTCTAAAAAGTTTGGTGTAAAACAGTACGCCATGTTATGCTGGCAGCAGCCTCATGAATCTCATATCTACTGCATCTCTTGGTGAGGCATTTTCTCTACCGCTTGATTTAATTTTGTGTTGTTTTGTAAACTTAGTGTAGCCTAAGTGTACAGTCTGTATAAAGTCCACAGTAGTGGGTAATCATGACCTGGCCTTCACACTCACTCACCACTCACTACCTGACTCACCCAGACCAATGTCCAGTCCTGCAAGCTCTATTCATGGCAAGCACCCCGTACAGGTGCACCATTTTTATCTTTTGTGCCATATTTTTGCTTCACTCTTTCTATGTTTAGGTACACAAATACCTACTATTGTGTTATAACTGCCTACAGTATTCAGTATAGAAACACACTGCACAGGTTTGTAGCCCAGGAGCAGTAAGCTACACCTGACAGCCCAGGTGTGCAGTGGGCTGGACCATCTGGTTGTATAATCACATTCCATGACATTTGCACAATGACAAAATCGCCTAAATCACTTAATGTCACATTTCTCATAACACTCTTGTCGTTAAATGATGCATGACTGTAATCCCTCCAGGAGTCCTCTTCCTCATCTGTAAAAGTGAGTTAAAACGTCACTCCCAGTTATGGAGTTTCTCTCTGCTAATTCGGCTTAACTAAGAGCAGAGCACCAATCGACAAATTTTTTAAAATTTAGCCTTGGTCAGATGGCTCAGTTGGTTGGAGCATCATCTCTCTACACCACAAGGTTGTGTGCCGGTCCAACCCCTGGTCAGAGCACATACCTAGGTTGCCAGTTCAAACTACTGATTGATGTTTCTCTCTCATATCCATGTTTCTCTCACTCTCTCCCTTCTGTCCTCTCTCTCCAAAAGAAACAAACATATCCTTGGGTCAGAACTTCAAAAAAAAACCCACATAAACTACATTTAAAAAATGAAAGCTATATTACAATAAAGATTCATATATATATATATATATATATATATATATATTACAATAAGATTCAAATTTGGTTTGAAAAATTGCATAGTTAATTCCAATAACCTCTTATACCAGCTTGGCAATTAACACATTTCTAGAAAAAATTAAGTATCTCAACTCAATTTATTATAATATATCCATGTTCGAGTTCTCATCACCTTCTAAATATCTTCATTTGTTACCAGACTTCATTGAATTTGGAGTCAAATTGAATTAGAAAAAGTAATTTCTTTTTTAAAGCTGCCAATAGGCTAGCTTAAAAAAGGGTTTTTTAATCACAGAAGTATTAAATGACCAATGTAGAAAAATTGAGGGATATAAGAAAATTTCAAATCGACAGTCTTGACATAATTATTGCTAATATTTTTATATTGATCATATCATTTTTATTTTCCCTTAGGAATATATGAGTGTAAGAATGAATGTATATGTGTATGTAAGATATATATGCTTTATTTTAGACATGATTTGGAAACCATTATATATTATTTTCTACCTTGATTTTTTTATGCAACATTATTCAGCAGCATTTTGTGATGTTGCTAAAGTTTTTTCAAAACCATTTCTGATGGTACCATAATATTAACTATTGAATGAACTATTCATTGAATTAACTATTCTTCCAATTGTTAAGCATTTACTTTCTTTTTTCTCTTGGTAAATATTTCCGAAGGATTTTTCAGAGTTTTACTATCCCTAGCAATTCAGAATACCACTTCGCTGTACTTTCGTGGGGAGTGAACATTTGAATTGTAAATTTTTGTCAACCTGACAAGTGAATAATGAGGTTTAATTTGCATTGTTTTGATCAGTGAAGTAAATTTTTTGGAAAAGGTTTATTTTATTCTCATTCGAGAGAGAGAAGGGAAGAGAGAAACATCAGTCACAGGTGGGTGGGCCGCCTCCTGCATGCATGCACCCCAGCCAGGAATCCAGCCCGCCACCTGGGAATGTGCCCTGACCGGGAACCCAACCGGGAACCTTTCAGTTACTGGAGGACGGCTCCAACCAGCTGAGCCATGCCATCCTGGGCATTGATGCCAATTTTTTAATGTTTTAATCATTTGCATTGATTCCAAGGATCATTCATGACTTTAACTGAGGCCAGATGTACTTTTAAAAATTTGTAAGAATGCCTATTGGAAAACGTGTTCATCTAGTGCATATAGTTGCATTTTTCAAAATTAGGCTTTTGAGATAATTGTGGTATCACAGTCAGTTGTAAAAAAATAATAGAGAGAAACCACATGTACTCTTTACCCTGTTTTCCCCAACGTGACAAACTATATTGAAAACTATAGCGCAGTATCACAAACAGGATATTGACACTGAGTCAACCAAGATACAGGTTTTCCACCGTCACAAAGATCCAGCCCCATTCCTGGATCCTTTTCCTACAACGTCGTCATTTCTGGGATTCCCCGGTTGGGTCAAGGTCCAACCAAACAAATATCAACACCCCGGAACGGAGCAGGTCCCAGATTGGTGGCTGCCCAACCAGAAGCTGTCGGAAATGACGTCAGACAAGTTGCCGGAGGAGGCGGGACCACCGTGGGAGAACTCCTATCCGAACCCTGTGAGGCTGGAGGCGTGGCTGAAGCAGCAGCGAGAGGCCGTGCCCCGCACTCGAGGGCGTAGCCTGGACGTTCTGGGAGTGGCCTGGGGCCGCTGGGGGCGGGGCCTGGCAACCTTTGGCAGCGAGGGCGGCCCGCTCGCTGGGCTGAAGCGCGCGCGGCGCCATGCGGACGGCCCGCGGGGCGAGAGGCCGCATCCCGGCGCTCCGTCCTCGAGCGGCCACCACCGAGATACCACGGGCATAGTCACCGCCTTTGTTCCAGCCGCGCCCCCCACGCCGCCTGGCCTGGCAGTCCCGCCGTGGGTCCCGGCGCTCGTCGGCTCGCGCGGCGCGGATGCGGCTGTGGGCCGGGCCTGGAGCGGGCGGCCGTGATGGGCAACTGCTGCTGGACACAGTGCTTCGGGTGGCTCCGCAGGGACGCAGGGCGGCTGCCGCGCGGCGGAGGGTAAGCCGAGCCCTCGCCTCCGCCGCGGGATGGGGGACCGGCTGCTGCCGTGTGGCCTCGCGGGCGTCAGAGCCGGGGCCGGGGAGGTGCTGGGCGAGGCGCCCCCGCGCCTGTCTAGCCAGCCGCCCGATGGGCGCGTCCCCTTGGTGAGGCCTCCAGGGTGGGCGCGGGACTGGCCCCCCGCAGCCCAGGACACGCCCTGGGGGAGCGCCCCTGCGTCCTCCGCCCCGGCGCAGCGATGACACTGGCTGGCCGCGTGGGCGCCGCAGAGGGCTCTGGGGTGCAGCCGCCTGAGTGCGGCGGAGCGACGCCGCGTCCGAGGACTTGGCCTCGGGGGTCTCCGCGGTCGTTCGGCTTCTCGGTGCCCGTAGCGGAGGCCGTGCGCAGCCTTTGCATGTGAATTTTTTGGAACTTGGAGAGGCCCGGAGCTCTGTAACCCCAGGAAAGCCCGTCCGTACAGTACCGAATGTCACCATTAGTCAGTTATGTCCTTTTTATTTTACAGGGTGTGGAAAAGGTTAGAACAAAGTCCATGGGAATTAGCTTTGTCATTGTTAATAAATATATCCCAGGAATTCACACTTAGAATTCAAAATATGCCAAGCCACTTTGTGTGAGAAATAAGGCCTTTTCAGTTTCTAGAACAGAACACGAAGTTACCAGATCTGGCCCATTTAACCAACATTATTAGGTCATAAGGTTGTTCAGCATAAGCAAATGGAAGCCAAATGGTGTATAACTTGGATCCTGGGCCCCTGTAGTCATCAGGCACAGCTCCGGGGCTTCCCTGTGTCCCTCAATGGGAAGGCGTATCACTGGATCCGTGAGTAACTGTCCGCAGGGAGGAACCGTAATGTTGCATCTGTGCCCTTCTGCTTGTGCACAGAAGTCCTTCAACAAACAAGCCTTTTGATTTTGAGGCAACGAGAGTTTGTGGGGTGTGGACATGGTCATCTAGAATCATATGATGCTCCCTGGATGGGAGCTCGTCCAGATACAACACCAAGATGCCATTGGATCCCTGGTCAAGGTATACATGAGAATTGACCAATGACTGCATCAATAAGTGGAACAACAAATCGATGTTTCTCTCTCACCCTTGTGGACTTGCTCCAAACTCAATCAATAAAAAAGAAATGAAATATGATGCTGGTATTGATCTGTTTCTTTTAATCCGTAAACATAGGTTTGTACAAGTTCCCTTACTTGAATCTCTGGATAAAATTATTTTACATTCATTTTAATATTATTTTAGGAGTTTCTAGTAAACATGTAGACACAGGTGAATGTATAATTAATTGTTATTTACAGAATAAGGTTAAATTTTACTTTTTTTTTCTACCTGGTAGGGTTTTTTTTTTTTTCAGCTATAGATTGGTAACTAATAGTTCAGCTAAGGGCAAAAAATTTAGGGGTAATCATAAAAACTTGATGTAATTTATATTTGTCTCATAGCTCATGGCTCTTTAATCTGTAGATAGATATTTGGTTGCCATTATTTCTCAGTGCATTACCTTGTACTTTGTCACTGGAGTATCTTGTATCAACAAGTATCAACAACTTGGTTCTTGATTCTTTGTGATTAGCCATTCTTTCCTTGAAACTATGCACTTAACCTCTGCCACACCACTTTTATCTTTAAATTTTTTATAAATGTTATTTATATAGAGAGAAACATCAATTTACCGTTCCATTTATTTATCCATTCAATCAATGATTCTTGTATGTGCCCTGACCGGGGGGTCGAACCAGCAACCTTGGAGAATGCTGATGACTCTAACCAACTGAGCTGCCTGGCCAGGGCCACTTTTATCTTATCTTCCTTGATATTCTTATCCTCTCTGTTAAATTGGCATTTTCCTCTGTCTTTCCTTTGTTTAGTTCCTTCCACATATACCTGTACTCCTGAAGAAATTTCATCCATTACTATGATTTCAACCACCACCACTTCCAAATCTCATGTCTTCTGAGCAGATCTCTTTTACAAAGGCTCATCAGTATATTTGCCTGCTGAAGAGACAAACTTGGACGTGCCAAGTCAGCCTATTTAAACTATCTAAACACACTCCACTGCCTTTGGGGCTGTAACTCACGCTCCAGCGCCTGTCCTTAATGTCACTGGAGCTTGGCTTTCTGCAGCCCACTCAGGATCACACCACCCCGGCTTTGCAGCTTCCTGTACATGCAGCTCCCAAGGCTGGATTGCCCACCTTTCTTCCTCTGGGACAGGGTGAAGTGTGGTAGTCACATGTGCAGCATGAGGTCTGCACAGTCTGGTTATATGTAGTTCTGCTTTGGGTAAAGCGGGTAATCTCACTTTTTGTTCTTTCATTCAGAAAGGCATGTCCATACACACATTGAGAACAATATTAAAAGAAAAACACTGAGTTTACTGTAATTTTACACTCATTCTGAAACCTTCATATTTCAGCTTTCTTGACAAATGATAACCTTCCAACTGAGAGTAGTATCTACTTTAAACTAGTAAGAGGATAATCTAACCTTATTCTATTGTACCAGCCTAGTCACCTTTTCCCTAGCATTGCTATTGTAGACTTGGCTCCCTGAGCAAGAGTGGGGCCGCATGGGGCAGGGAGGGCCGGTCCGTGAATCAGTGGTCTCCGCCACTCCTTCCCCTGCACACCCTCAGTATCCCCTCTCCTAACAGACTGGGCTCCTTCCTGGCACCTTTATGTGTGGTAGTTCTTTTCCTGTCTCAGGGAACTCTTATCCATAAAGATTACCTTCCTTACGAAGCCTTTTACGACACCCTGAGACAATCCTATCTCCCTGAGGAAATAATATTTTACACAGGTTTAAATTTATATCAGGGATTAACAAACAGTTTTTATAAACGGTCAGATAATTAGGCTTTGCAGGTCAGAAAGTCTCTGTTGCAGCTACTCAAGGTTGCATGCTTTAGCACCAGAGCAGCCAAGACAGTATTCAAGTAAATGAATGTGACTGTTCTGATAAGATTTGATTTACAGAAATGGGCGTTGGGCCAGGTTTGGGCCATGGACTATGGTTCACTGCCTCCTAGTCTACATCGTGATTCGGGGAGTATGTTTTATCTCTCTCTCCATGTAAAGTCCAGGTGGCTTTAGGGAACTTTAGACTGTTAAGAAAGAAGGAAAATCCAGTTATTTTCTTAAAATCATTGTTCTTGCAGTGTTGTTGGTTCAGCTCAGCTATCATCATAACTAATGTACTTGAATATTCACGCAAGGGGAGGTTTCTGTCCAAGAATCCTGACACATTAGGAGCCCTCAGGTGGAAGAAACACCAGTCACTTCAGCTCTGCGGTGACCCCGCCTCCCCGGCAGAAAGGAGCCAGGATCAAAACGACTTCTGACCAGAGCGCGAGAAGAAAGTGGCAAAGCAGGACCGCGTCTCAGGAAGACAGAAATCACGGCTGCAGAAGAAACGCACAACTTCAACACAGACAATGAGGATGCCAAACTGTTAAAGCCTGTGCTGACCTTGCTTCCGTCCTCAGTTCAAGTGCAGACGGCAGCCAAGGCGTCAGGAGCAGGCTGAGACTCGGAAGGGCAGTAGTGGGGGAATCAGGAGAGGTCACCAGGAGCTCAGATGTGTCCTTAGAGACCCAGGCTGGGACTGCCCACCCCTCCTCTTCCCACTCACTACACGCGGATGTGAATCAGACAGTGAAGAAGGCTGATGGGAAACACATTCACTTACAATAGGGTGTTGGAAACCCAGGACCCCCCCAAAAATAAGATTCACTCCTTGAAAGAAGCCACAGGCTGAGTCTCCTGGGCTGAGTGGGGCTATGAGGACAGGACTCTGGGTATGTCACCCGTTCATGGGGTCGCCTGGAATAGGCCATCTGAGCGGCACAGGGCACATGGGGGGTGGGGGGTGAGGAGTTCTTTCCATCAATTTTGGCAGCTGTAACAGAAGCCACATGATAAGTGAAAGTCACAGTCTCTTAGCCCTTCCCATAGTGAAGCAGTCTGAGTGGTTTGTCCCGGACTGACGCACACTGAGTACAGTGGGGACCTGTCTACAGAGCAGACATAACAAAGATGCTTATTTGACTTCATGTAAGTTTTACTGCTAGGAGCAGAAGAGAATGATTATTTTTTTTAAGTGTCAGCTTCTTTGAGGTATAATTGAGAAAAACTATACATCATGCAGGGAAAGATTAAAATTAAAGGCATTACTCGGCCCCCGAGAGAAACATTACTGTAACAGACTATGTGGTTGATGTGTGTATATGTGACTATTTCCAAGCGTGGGCTTGGGAAGAGAAGCAGCAGCACCTAGCTTTGGGTAAACATGGCCCCACCGTCCAGAGACCATCACTGTGGGCATATTGGCATTAATCCTTTTAGATTTCTGTCATTTTGCATATGTTTAACAAAAGTCGGAAGATACTCTTATCATAAGCATTTAGTACATCAGTATTTTAACAAGGTAGTTTTCTTGATACGGCAAAAACAATGAGATACATTTTCATATTTACCTGTATTCTGTTTTATGTAGTAAATATAGTAAATTAACTTATTACAGATTTAGTAAATATTAGTACCAACAGGAAAATATTGTTTGACTAAACACTTAAACTCATAACTAGGTCTAACAGTCTGGAGTATTTATATTCTTAGGTAAATTTGCTGGTTTATTTTTATAAATATAAGGTACCTAGTATGTTAAAGAACTTAAGGTGCTGCCCTGGCTGGTGTAGCTCAGTGGATTGAATGCGGGCCTGCGAACCAAAGGATTGATGTTCAATTCCCAGTCAGGGCACATGCCTGGGTTGCAGGCCAGTTCCCAGCAGGGGACACACGAGAGGCAACCATACACTGATATTTCTCTTCCTCTCTGCTTCCCTTCCCCTGTAAGATAAATAAATGAAATCTTTAAAAAGAAGAATTTAAGGTGCAGTTGAGAAAATGTTTTTATTCCATTATATCAATGCAGTTTTAGGATTATATTTGATTTTAAAGTTGTTTATCTGTTTTTCTTCCCAGATCCAAATATTTTAGAACATGCTCAAGAGGTGAGCATTTAACTATAGAGGTGAGTACAGTCACGGATCTGATCGGATGCAAATGCCTTTGGGGGGCTTTTTTCAACTGAGGGAGAAGGACCGAGACCTGAATTTCGTGTGGACTATGTATTTCTGTGTTATTGGTGCTAATGAAGAGGAAAGAATTGAAGTGCTGGTGGAAGGGGGACTAGGGAGAAGTTGGCAGAATATCTAGGTTCTGAAAATAAAAACCAGAAATTAGTTTTTTAAAAAATCACAAACCAATATAAAGAATAAGTTCAAGATCATAATTTTAAACAATTTTAAGTAATCCCTTTAGGTTCCTATGTTTTCTGAACCTTTCATTGTTTTCTTGATCTTGAGACAACAAAGAAAGGGCCAAGAAAACAAGAAAACCCTTTTTGCTTTCAAGTGATTATTTATGAAATTATATTTAAAATTCAAATATATACATATATTTAGATTTTATTTATTTATCTTTGAGAGGGGAAGGGAAGGAGAGGAGAGAAACATCAATGTGTGGTTGCCTTTCGTGCGCCCCCTGCTGGGAACTGGCCTGCAACCCAGGCATATGCCCTGACTGGGAATTGAACTGCGATCGTGTGGTTCGCAGGCCTCGATCCACTGAGCTATGCCAGCCAGGGCTAAAGTTCAAATATTTTAATAGTAATGACCTTCATTAGGTAATTTTACATACTATTCATCACATTATGATCAAATTGTTTGCGTTCCTATCTCTAGAAAGACACAGTGCTACCATTTAGTAGATTTTCCATAAATAGCTACATGAATGACTAGAAAAATAGAAATGTTATAAGAGAAATTCTTGTTTAGATATCTTTTTCAGTCCCAGTTTTTAAAGTAATTTTCCTTCTTACAAAATTAAATTATTCTGAATTCAAGTGGAAAATTCTAGCAGTGTGGGTTTAAACACCTGTATGAAATACTTGATTCAGGGGAAAGTTTTATTTATCAGTTTCTGATTTATGTGGGAACTTGCTGTAATTCTCCTTTTTGTTTTTCATGTAAAGTCATAAATCAAAGATAGCTTGTCTTGGCTCTCTTCTAGGACTGTTAAATATACATCAAATGAAATGGTGTATAAAAAGAGACTGAAAGTATCCTACAAATATGGAGACACATGATTTTTTTAGGTGAAAATGTGGCATCGTTGTTTGTGGGACGGGCATCTTAGACCTTTCTCCTAACACTTGCTTTCTTGTCTTTCAGTTTGAGAATCTGGTAGAAAGTGATGAAGTAAGTATTTCTGCAGTGTGTACAATTCACATTGTTTTCTTTACTCATCTAATTAGTTCTAACAGTTAATTAGTTTTTAAATAGCATTTACTTCATCTTCTTTCAGTTTAGAATTTTATCTTTTGAGTTTATTTTTACTGTTTAGTTCTTTATTTTCTTCTTTCACTAATTTGTTTTAGCAAATAATTCAGAATTACTTATAATTATAGTTCTACTGTAAAACATATATTTGTAATTTAATTTATATATAGTTCTGTATGTCAGTTACGTATATTATACATATCAGCTATATAAAGCAGATTTTAAAAGCATTCTGTAGAACCCAAGGAGCTTTAAAAAGGGATATTTCTAACCTCGTGCCATTAGGTAGGTAAAATTCCTCAACAGTCCAGAGTAGACCTGTTCTTTAACCTTAGTTTTAATGGATTTCTGAGGGTGGAATTTATACACATTCATTGTACTGTCAGTTTCTGATTTTTGTCATTATCTTTTTTAAAAAAGAACCCTCACCTGGGGATATGTCCATTCATTTTTAGCGAGAGGAAGGGAAGGCAGGGGAGAGAAAGAGAGAAGCATGGACTCGTTGCCCCCATGTGCACCCGACCCGGGGATCAGACCCTGGCTTGTCCGGCCGACGCTCAAGCCAGCCCAGCTACCTGGCTGGACCACACTGCTTCTTAAAGGAATTTATGGCTGTGTGTGTTTTCCCGAGGTGCTTTCCTAAGGGGCCTGTTGGGTTAAGTTTTTTTTTTTTTGCTAACCAGTCTCTTCCTCTGGCATGTCATATTTTGGGTTTGGTCTGGTCCAACTGTTGTGTAGTGCTGTTTCCTAGATTCCTTTGGATCATTTAGAATTTTATTTTTACTGTTACTTTGTCATATATTTTAACTGTCAGATGTAAATAGCCTATTTGTATAAGACAGATACATGAACCCAAATCAGTCTTGCAATTAGTTATAGTTTGCCTGGAGGCAAAATACGATAGGTAATTTCATATCCTGTGACAGACAACAAGAACAGTTGATTTTCATTCACCATAGTTAGGTTTTTCGAAGTGACTGTGGTGCTGGAGTGGGGGCTTCCGGAACTCACTCCAAGGGGACAAACAGAATTTGGTTCCCACACGCTCCTGCTCACAGCATCTCCACCTGTTGATCATTATATAAACTTGTTTTATGTTCCCGTTTGACACCTTATTTTGATACATGTTATTGGGTCACTAACTTTGAACTCGCAGCCAACAGCACTGCAACTCAGCCTGAAAAAAGCTTGTCTAACACATGTATTCTCTCCGTAAGAGGAATGCCACAGCTTTCTTGTGCTGAGGGACGTTAAACAGCACCGCAGCACTGCGCATGGGGTAATTTTAAACAGTGAAATCATCAATAAAAACATACAACCGCAAGAAGTGTGGTGTGCATGAAACGGCTTGTAGAAAGAACACAGCACGAGCTGAAGCGGTGTGAAGCACTGCGTGCTGTACCCCTGCCCGGCCACGCAGGCAGCGCCAAGCTCTGCTGCTCCTCGCTGGTCTCCGAGGGACCCTCAGCACGCAGGCGGCGCTGGCTGTGAGGCTGCTAACACACTTTCCCAGGTCGGCGAATTTGCACACACAGAATTCGTGAGCGATGAGGGCACAGAGGACACGTCTGGTACAAGCCTGACCCCGGATGTTCACTGGGTACAGGATAAATATTTGTAGGAAAAATTAAGAAATATCCTGCATTTTGTTTTCACATAATTAAGCTAGATATTAAATAAAATTTCGCCTTTCCAAAATAGTAAAATATTAAAGCTTTTCATTTAAATACACATTAAACTTGTTTACTGTGTTAAAAATAGGTAAGTGCGAATATTTTGATTAAGTAAAATTTGTATTGGCTTACTTGAAATAGAATTCGGCTAATGAAAACGTTTAATTACTTAATTCATTTTTTATACAGGGGGAAAGCCCAGGAAGCAGTCATAGGTAAGGTTTGTCTGTCTGTCTATCTCAGTAACTTCTGCTGGAACCGCAGAAGCTCTCCAAGAACCGGGCTCTGTCGTCGGTTTGCTTTGAACACTTCGAATTTCAGATCCTGATCTTTCTCCTCCTGTGAGACTGAGGCAAATAAATGTGCCTCAAACAATTTAATGTGCATAGTGCCTCGCCGCTTCCCTCGAACCTAAGTTGTTACTAGGTTGTTAATGTGGTTTTTTTGGTTCATAAAAAACCATTTACATTTTCTTTAATTTTTTAACTTTGTCTCCTTTCACTTTCTTATGACATTCTAAAGCTCATTTTACTACTTACAGGTTTTTAAATATCTTTCTGTAGTACCTAGAACCATAGTACTACCTGTGACTGCCTGCGCCAGAATTATTAGAAATGGAGCAGAGGGAACTGCAGTGATTGCTGAGAAAATCGGGGGAAGTGCGTAGAGGGCAGGAAGCACAGGAGCTCTGAGCAGGGGTTTGGCCTGCTGGGGCTCCAGCTCTGTCACGTCCTGGGTGCTGGCTCGGACCTGTCTCCCCCTTATTCCTCTCACATGTATAACCTCTGTGTCGACAAGGTTGCTGTGAGGAGTAAAATTAGTTAATGCACATAAAGCACCAAGAAGAGAGCATGGCACATGCCAAGTCCTGGGTGTGCTGTCGATACTGGACATTTAGTTGCTGGAATCTGGGCTGAAAGGGGATGAAAGAAGGAGCAGTAGCTGGAGGTAGACCTAGGTCAGATGAAGGATTCCTTTCCTTCCCACCGAAGACAGGTGGAAGCAGGTTGAGAGTGGGCTGAGGGTGCCTGCTGGCAGCTGGAGCAGCAGAGTGCTGGGGTGGGGTGAGGACAGACAGCTCCACTGGGAAAGCATCAGGAGTGGGCCTGCAGCAGAGGCCTCCGCAGGCTGAGGATTCTTCTGCCCAGGGGGAGGGCAGACTTTGGTAGGAGGGTGGCAGAGTTCGAAGGACTTGGTGGTGCATGCTCCCCATTTCCCAAAGTGGGGTGAGATTGACTGTACAGAGAACAGTTTGACTAAGGAACTCGGGGACTGTGTGATGATCCTGAGGGTTGGGGTGGGGTGTGAGAGGCACTTGGCCGTGAACAAGGAAGGGTTGTTGCTGGGGGCCAAACGTGCAGGACTCACTCTGACACTTCTCAGGAGAAAGGGTGCATCAGTGGGGGGAGGGAGGCGTTACAGCAGAGGTGCAGGAAGGACGCGTGTCGTGAAAGGTGGCATGGATGCCGTGGCACCTGCACTGGCTGGGGGGACGTGGGCCAGCACGTGGTCGGGATGGGCAGCCTGGGGTGCTTCGTGGTGCACACCGGGGGAGGCGGTCGGAAGGCCGCGGCAGAGCCAGAGCGAAGTGGAGCTGACATTTCTTCAAAAATGGTTGTAGTTGAAAAGTGCTCTGTAACATGTCATCTTACTCAGCTTTCTACCAGAATATAGCAACCGTTAGAATGTCTGCTTTTTACTCTAACGAAGTTATACATCAAATTTGTCGATACATTTTTGTAGTAAAATTTCAGAATTTCACTGCTTTTCTGAGTGTTTTATTGGGACTCAGTCATCAGAAGTTTTCTTTCTTTTTCACCCTCATTTTTCTCTGTAGGCCTCTCACTGAGGAAGAAATTGTTGACTTAAGAGAGAGGCATTATGATTCTATTGCTGAAAAACAGAAAGATCTTGATATGAAAATTCAAAAAGAGGTAAAAGTTTTTTATGTTGCTTTTATATATTATAAAGGGTCTGTTTATAGGGGAAAGTTGTCATTAAATAATATATTGCATACAGAGTCATTGGACCTCTATTTAGACATATACAGATGAAATTATTTAAGAGTTAAAGATTATTTCAGCCTATTATCGTTTGTTTCCATTCAGGTTAAGTAACGTCAGCAGTCATATACAGCCAGCAGTGAAGAGAATGCATTGTCCTCATACCTGTACCTTCGTATTTAAAACCAATTTAAAAAAATTACTGTTTCACAATAAGTGTGTTTTTTTAAAGTCTTTGTTTCAGATAAATTTGTTCTTAGTAAGTGAAGCCAGCACTTCTTATAATCCTAACTGTTGTATTTATTATAATGTATTCACAGAATGGCCTGTAATTATAATAGATGATCTATAACAGCTAATAATATTAGCTTGAAGAAAAATAATTTTGTTCAAAATTGGATGTTCAAGTTTTTAAAAAAATATTTATTTATTTTTAGAGAGAGGAGAAGGGAGTGAGAAAAAGAGGGAGAGAAACATTAACTTGCATTTGCCTCTCACACACCCCATACTGGGGACACGGCCTGCAACCCAGGCATATGCCCTGACTGGGAATTGAACTGGTGACCCTTTTGTTCGCAGGCCAGCACTAAGTCCACTGAGCCACACCAGCCAGGTTGATGCTTAACTTTCATTTGAAATGCAATAGATTATCACTAAAGTAGTTTGCATGCTATTAGAAGGGCAAGAACTTAAATTTGAAAAGTAATTTTTGAACAACTTGATAGTAAGACAATTTGGGAGACGATGAGACATGACCTCTGGAAGCTCGTTTAGTCCACTTTAGTTGATGGTGACTTGATGGGCCATAGGAGGCCCAGAACCCTTCAGCTGGTCAGGTGACAGGTGTTACAATGATTGTTGAGAATTCTGAGAAAGAAGCAGTTTTGTATTTATGCAGATTAGATGCTGCTATTTCATAATTTCCGTTTCTAAACAATTCTGTGATATGATTGAGTTCATTTGAGTTATTTGTAAAAGGAGAAACTGAAATAAGAAATCACAAAAGTTTCAATTCCATTATGCTTTGTAGAGATCAAATTTTTAATCATTTATTTTTTACTTTGTAAATAGGAACATTTAATTTTTAGAGCAGTTAGACAGGTTCTGCTTTTGTTAATCCTTACTGTTTTGTTCATGCACAGTTAGCCTTACAAGAGGAGAAGTTAAGACTAGAAGAAGAAGCTTCATACGCTGCCCAGCGTGAAGCAGCCAGGGCAGCCATGCAGCGAAGGCGCGAGGAGGTGAGGGAGGCCAGCCTCCACCGGCTGCTCGCTCCTGGTGTTCCCGACAGAGCCGAGTCAGCCCTTTCCTGTCCCCTAGAGTCAAGGACTTTCTGTTTGACAAGTGTATTCATGCCTCTATCTTTAGGAATTTTTTTAAAGATTAGAGGGGAAGTGAAGGAGAGAGGGAGAGAAATATCCATGTATAGTTGCCTCTCATGCGTCTCCTGCTGGGAACTGGCCTTGCAGGCATGTGTTCAGACTGGGAATCAAACCGCGATCCCCTGGTCTGCAGGCCGACGCTCAATCCACTGAGCTGCACCAGCCAGGCTGTCTTTAGAAATTTAAAGGCAAATTAGTTGAACTTTTAACAGCTGGAAATAACATCAAATTATATTTTTGATTCTGAATACTCTTTTGCCTTAGATTAGCAGACACTAACTCTTATTTATCCTGAAGATCAGTTTCAGTTTTCTGAAATCCAGTATTCTTTTGGAAAAATAAATGTACTCTTAGAAAAAGGGCAAAAATAGCCTTTGTAAGTTTAATTTGTTCATTTTTCTAAACAAGTCCTTTAATTGCTAGAATTTCTTGTACTTCCCAGAGTCAGGTAAGCTGGGCAGTTTGTCCCACGGGGATCTTGCATATTTCTCACCTTTATTCTTGAGTCTTTGGGAGGTCGGGAGTTGGGTCTTGAGAAATCTTTGGCCCCTTATCAGAGAAGGCAACAGGTTTACGTATCTTTACCCAGTGCTGATGACGTGCAGTGAGCGTGTCACGGTGCCAGACAGCTTTACTAACAGACGTGACAGGGCCCTGGCTAAGTGTCAGGTGTGTTCTCAACAGTTCACAAGTTTCACCTTCTGCGATCCTCATAACAATCCGAGGGGGTGGGTAGTGTGTTGAGCCCCCATTTCATAGACAAGGAGAACGGGGCAGAGAGGCGAGGTGCCTGCTGCAGAGTCTACCACGGGCACAGGGCAGGGCCAGAGTCCCGCGCCACAGCACCCGGTCAGTGGCCCGCTCAGTACCTGCCGACACAGTTGGCCCGTGCGAACTCTCTACTCTCGTGTGAACCAGCGCAGTGCAGATCACGCCACAGTCAGCCGCTGTGACTGGAAGAAACTGAGTAAATCACACTGGAAATCAGGCCGTGTGATTTCCCGTGACCTGTATCTTTTATCTCACTCTCGTGTGTTTCCGCAGAATAATCATATCACACGGGGAATGATTTTTGTTTTAGTAAATTCTGAACAGTGAGAAAGTTAAAAAATTAACTCACCTGCACTAAGAAATAAAAGTACTTTTCTGGTTATAATGTAGACGGCTCCTTTACTGTGATAGGTTCTCTGCTGCTCGCCTTTGAAAGACTGCAGGCATCGCCTGTGCGGCGTTTCTCTGGGTTCTCTGACTCTGCACTTCCCAGACTGAACCGCAACATGAGCACATAAGAGTCTCCACAGCCCGCACACAGGTGCACAGGCCCAGGCCAGCGCCTTTGGCCTTCACTGCCGCGTTTGCTGGGGCATCTCACAGCCTCTGTAATTGGCAAATGGGGAAACAGGGAGTATAGGACGTGCCAGGGACACACAGCTAGTCGCTGTCAGAGCCAGGTCTGCCCAGCCTTCTGGGCCCGACGGCTGCATTCGCCCCAGTGGGAACCTCTGCACTGTCCCAGCCAGTCCCTTCCTGCCCCTCATCCTTCCAGTTACCACTGGTTCCTAGGTGTAATAAGAATGGTAAGTGTGTGTGTGTGTGTGTGTGTGTGTGTGTGTGTGTTTAAAGTTTTTTTTTAAACACTGAGTATTCTGATCACTTAAGGATTATACACTGATAAATTGAGAGAAATTCTACCCATAAATATAACCGTGTAGAAGTGAATGGTGATGAATTTCAGGAAAAAGACTTCAATAGAATAACTTACTAAGTTTTTCTTTTTAAACCACAAAAGAGTACTTTTTTGGCATTGCGCAAATGGTCTGAACCACCACGCTTGTACAGCAGTGACTTTGCTCTGCTTCGTGTTTCCAAAGCAGGGAAGGCCGAGCGCCGGGCCTGGATGCCGCCCCCCCGCCGGTGCCGCGTATGCAAGGTGACTAGCGAACCCCCTTCCCTTCTGGGAGAAAACATTGTGTCTGCATGTCCGTACACACACTCAGGTTTGCGGGTCCCTAAACATGACTGCTTCTCAGAGACACTGTCTTGCAAGAATACTGAGACCACTTGCTTTCTTTATCTTGAAAAATGATCATCCTTTGTTCAAATGGACTCCATGGCATCTTTAAGAGTGGTCACATCTTCCATGCAGAAAATGATGCCGCGCCCCATGGGAAGCCTGGGAGAAGCTGTGCACACCTGCTGCGTGTGTCCTCCGCACTCTTCTCTCACAGTAAAGCACGTGTGCGGTCGTTTTTGGAAGAGTGCTTCCTTACTGAGAAAATCTTCCCATGGTTCATTATCATAAATCGTAAAGTTATACTTGCGGCTGAGCTTTGGAGATCTGACATCAGGATTAACCAAAATCTTATTTTCAATATATTACTAACAGTAAGAAAAGTAAGACCTATTTTTATTGAGCTGTTATATTTATACAGCAATTATGCATTTGGGTGGGATAAACCATCAAGCCAAAAATGTCACATTAAATATGCATTATGTTATATCTACTATGAATATATATAAAAATTACCTCACTTTTAATACAGTTCCGGACCAGAAGACGACTTTGAATCTTGTTTGAGAAATATAAAGTCACAATATGAAGTTTTTCGAGGCAGTAGTAAGTCTTTTAAAATATTCTGTGTGCATTTTAAGTTTTTTTACGTAAATTAAACAGATGGTAATTGGAGGTCCTGGCTCTGTTTCTGTAGAACATCCCCCTTCGGTTCATATTGCCCAGAGGGGTCAGTTAGAAGTCCTTAACTAAACAATATCCTTTTTCCTTTTTCAAAAGGAGTTGGGCCAAAATACAGTCTCAGGCTATTTCTGTAGATTCATATGGGGAGTCAGGGTTTCCATTTTCCATTTCTGACCCCATGTCTCTCCCCAGGAAAAGAAAGGGGAGGTAGGGGAGCCGTGCAAAGTGCATTTATTTTAATTCTTAGAAGCTGACTCATAAGATGAAAATGGCTCTCTCCACATTTGCAAACTCCCAGTGAAAACTCTCAGTAATACCAGCATGGTAGTGGTTCCTCTTGAAAATACAGACCTCTCTTCATTTGTTCTGCCATTTTTTTCTTTTCATTTGTTTTTTGCTCCCTTTGTAATAGACTATTAAGAATAATACCTGGAGTTCATTGTACTTAAAAAGTGATGGTGCATTTACATTTGCATGTCTACTGTGCTGCTAGATGGCAAAATAAAAAATAAACACAAAAGCCCTATGTGTTCTGAACAAAGGCACAAAGGTAGTGGTTTCAGTCATTGTTTCCTGTGACAGCAAAAGGCTGAGTGAGGTTCGGGGAGACAGTTACTGCGGGAAAGGCGGGCGAAGGGAGGGAGGGGTGCACAGCCACGTGCACTGGCATCTGGTGTCTGTTCTAGGACTCTCGTCCGACGCCACCGTTCTGACTCCAAACACAGAAAGCAGTTGTGACTTAATGACCAAAACGAAATCGACCAGTGGGAACGATGACAGCACGTCCATAGATCTGGAGTGGGAAGATGAGGAAGGTATTTTATGTTCTCCATGTACCTGAACTGTTTAATGTACTGTGTTAGTGTATAGATACCAAGTTGGTATTTTACTGTAATTTAAACTGAAATGAATGTAAGACTTAGAAAAGTCAGTATAAACATTTCTTAGATTCTTGTTGTTAGTAGTTATCATTAGTTAATAAGTTATTTAGAAAGTTGCTTAATTTTTAATTCTTTTTAAGATTTAGAGAATTTAATTTCTCATTTTAAGGGTTTTGTAATCCAGCCCATTGATCATCAGTAAGAAGAATTGCTGCCCCCTTGTGGGCAACCTAAAGCCAACGTCAGTTACCTTGGTATCTATAAATAAATTAACAACTTGTTAGTTTTCTTGGCACTACAGAAGCTATAACACAGACTGAATTTGAATTTTACCTGGATATTCTCCTCGATGTCGCAGTTTTGGTCGATTCCTTTATTTCTCTAAGATTCAGTTTGTATACATGAAAAGAATAGTAAGCCTACTTTAAAGGGTGGTTCACTGGTATGTCCTTTCTGCCTGGCACAGAATGGGCAGTTAACAAATATTTGAAGAAATGAAGGCATGAGTGTTGTGAAAATTAAATAAAATTTCTATAAAACACCAAATACAGGGTGTTGTACATAGTAAGTACTCAAAATTATAGCTAAAATGCGGATTTTTTAAAAAGGTCTATTCCACTGAATAAAGTCCAGGTTTTCATGTTAAGAAATAAATAATCCAAAAAGGAAGAACCAATTATAGAATACAGGACTTTAAGAACACTAATAAGCATTAAAGTTTTCATGGGATTTTGAGATGGAATGGACCTTAGATTGCCTCCAGTCAAAGCTATTTGTTTTATCCACGAAGAAGCAGATACAGCAGGGACTTGAATAATTTTACCAAAGATGCATTAACTTAAGTTTTCTTTTCATCTAAATACTTTTTCCCTAATCCTGTACTTATGTTACTGCATATTTGGTTTCCAGTCAGCAGTCACTTCCTGGCCTTTTGGCTAAGATGAAGTGTGGATTCTAGCAGATCTTAAATTGATTTTTATTTTAGCATCTTGTTCCATTTGATCTGAAGCCTTTCAGTTATTTTAATTCCTGATCTTGTCATCCATGCCCTGTACTAATTAGATTTGTAGATAATATAGCTTTGAGGTCATTATTTAAATCCTTAACAGAATTATTAATTAACTAGGCGAGGACAGAGCCCACTAGAAAGTAGTAGGAACCAGCTTCCTTTAGAAATAGTCTTACTCAGTGAAATACAAATCCACAAAATTATATTAGCATGCAGCTCATATTTTTCTTGTCTATAGAAATATCTTGTTCTGCTGGGTTGAGTCCATGATTTTTCACAAGTGACAGACAATACTGATACAGATTTAAGTGTTATTTTGTAACTGTAGGGTTTGATTCTTTAAGGTCAGAAAACAAAATTACTGAATGTGTCTATCGGTATTCTCTTATAATCCCTTTTCTAGTCCTAGATTTTAATTCTATTACTAGTGTTGATCCCACACTTACAAATTTCTATCCTCCTTCCCTCTGCCAATACAATGACTCTTTTTCCTCCAGTTTACTGGCCAAATTTCTGTTCAGAAATAGGTCTAGAATAGTTTCCCTAGAAACGTCTCTGCTCCTTGGCGGTGGCAGAGAATGGGAGGGGCGCGGGCGTGCGAGCCGGGACAGCGAGTGGTGACTTTCTCTTCGTGCTCAGCAACTTCCAGCCTGTAGAGCAGAGCCGAATGACATGCGCATAACACGCGTGGCTCACATAGAGCATTACCGGGAGCCAAGTGCGGGATGCATAGAGGTGCGTGGTGTTGCTGTCATCATTAGAGTTACTCTCACCCCTGGGAAAGGAAACCACCATCTGGTAGGAGAGGGTTTGGCTGGTTCGGGATTTGTCCGTGTAAGACTAAGAGCTGTTTGAGGCCCTCCGCCCACTCTGACTTACGGCTCTTCAGACGTTTCGTCTCATCAGATGGTCATCGTGGCGTCAAAACTGCCCTTGGCTGAGGAGCAGCACCATTTCTGTGTAAGGCGCGCTCTAGGTGACGCGCGTCAATCACCCTTGAGAAGGCCCCATAGTGCTGGCCCTTTAGGTTAATCCGCAAGTCAAGTCTGATTGTTCAGTACAAACTGTACTGTTACGGTGGGAAGTCATTTTTTTACAATATTTTATTTATTTCTAGAGAGTGGGGAAGGGAGGGAGAAAGAGGAGACACCAATGTGTGGTTGCCTCTTGTGCGCCCCCTACTGGGGACCTGGCCCACAACCCAGGCACGTGTCCTGACAGGGAATCAAACCGGGGATGCTTTGGTTCGCAAGCCTGAGCTCAATCCACTGAGCTACACAAGCCAGGGCAAAACTCTTTTAATAAAGCTTTTTAATCTTCACTGAGATTTGTAATACCTTTGCTCCAATAACAGGAATGAATCGAATGCTTCCGGTGAGGGAGCGTTCTAAGACGGAGGAAGACATCCTCCGGGCGGCGCTCCGGGGTCGGGGCCGGACTCCGGGAAGTCATGCTGCGTCAGCCTCTGATGACTCCAACGGGCTGGAGTGGGAGAGCGACTTCGTGGGCGCCGATGTGGACGACAACGGCAATTCCGAATACTCTGGCTTTGTGAACCCTGTCCTAGAACTGTCCGACTCCATCGCAAAGCAGCCCCGTGCAGATCAGCAGAAGCGAGAAGGTGAAGTCCTGTGACCTTGCTCAGGGGTCGGGCCCAGTGTCGAAGGCCCGGCCGGCCGTTCCAGGGAGGCAAGGACTGCGTCGGAGCGCTTCAGAATTAAGTGCAATTCATCACCTGCCTTCTGTTGTCCGAGAACAAGTGAATGGTTCTGTCATGTTAGCATTTGTTTTAACTTCTTTGTAGGATTCTTGTTTAATATTTGTAGATTTTCATTTTTAAAGTAGCTTTAATAGTTTGGCTTAGTGTGTTTTCGTAAGCTTATTTCAGTAGCTATGAAAACGTTGAGGCATTTTGTGTTAATGCTCAGCAGACATGAGAGAGCATGAGGATGGACTGTCAGAGAATAGTGGGTTTTTTCCAACATTATGTATTCCTACCACTGATTTAAATTTGATTGTCTCGTAGTAACCACAGTTAATTTTAGTAGCTGACCTTAAAGAAATGCTCAAGTATCATTTCTTTCTATACTTACTGTGCATCCAAGTATGAGAACATTGATTTAGTCTGAAACAAAGGGTCTGATATGAAAAATAAGCTCTCAGAGTTTGGACTGTTGAAGTTGGTAATCAAAAGTAACACTGAAGAAAATAAATAGGCTTAGGTTTCTCACTTCCTTTTACAGGCACTATAAATGAATACTGACTTTAAGTTTGTTGAGATATTACATTTCTAGGTGTCATTTTTTAAAATTTTGTATTTTCAATGATTGGTCTTAGAAAGATTTTACACAGAACATATTCTTTGTGCATGGTTTGGTAAGAAAGGAAACCTTAAAAGGTAATACGGGTATTTCAAAGTAAATAAAATCCTTTCTGGTGTGAAAGGATCTGTTGATTTTTATTGTTTTCCTTTGCCTTGTAATACAAGGCACATTAATGGGGTAGAACTAAGTATATAAATTATGTAACTACTTTTTGTGATATACAACAAACTCTTCTCTGAAGTTTAGGTATCAATTTAAAAGGCCAAGGACATAAGACACTCCCTAATTGCTTGTCTTGATTTTTTTGAGGATTGATGTGATTTCAGGAAGCAGATTCTCAATTTTTGCCTTTGTGTTCCTTTTTCTTGCAATAGTGGCTGCGCATGTCCCCAGTGGTGTAGAAGGGTCAGGTGTACATAGTGACTTACAGTCCTGGCTGAACTCAAGAAAAACCACGTGGTCCTTTCCACAGCTGAACTGCTAGGCAGTGACACCTATAGTTTCATCTCTTTTTAGCTCATAGAAATAAATGACACTTCAAATATGAAGACATTTTAGATAATGCTATCGTTTATGTCTGTCTTAAACTTTCAGTTGTTACTATGTCATGGGAAATATTTTCAAGGTAATTTGTATTCCCAATGCCTGTGCTATGCTTTTTAAAGTTTGTATACATCAGATGTATATTTTTGGTTTGCCATAAGCTACTATTGTAATTTTTTTGGCATTTTGTTCATAAAGAATTTTTTGAAGGAATGGTAACTTCTCAAGGGTTGTGAATAAACACATTTTTACATTTAAACACTTTATTATTGCTTTATTCCATAAACATACGATAACTCTGACATACATGATTATTTTATTAAATGTGCAATGAAAACAAAAAGGAGATTAATTAGGAAAGCAGGCTGGAACTAAACTTGAGGATATGTGTATTTTAGCAGCTGAGAAAAGGACTTTTTAAAGATTTTATTTTTATAGAGAGGGAAAGGGAGGGAGAGGGAGAGAAGCATCAACGTGTGGTTGCCTCTCACGCGCCCCCTACTGGGGACCTGGCCTGCAACACAGGCCTGTGCTCTGACCGGGAATCGACTGGCGGCCCTTCAGTTTGTGGACAACGCCTAACCCACTGAGCCACACCAGCCAAGGCAGAAACACTTTATATATTTACTAAAAGACGCTATAAATGACACTGATCTATCCAGAGAATACATATCAAAGAATCTGTCTGGTACAGTGATGGGGATGTGTCAGCAAAGACACAGTTTCTGCTCTTTACATTCTGGTGAGAGACAGACAATAACGAGTAAACATGTACATAGAAAGTCATAGAACATCACTAGGAAATATGCAAGATGATAGGATAAAGGGTAGCAAGGGGCCAAAAGACTGGTTTGGGTAAGCCCTGGGAGTCTCCTGTGAGGAGATGCAATTTGAACTGAGATGCTGTTGAGCAGGAGCCGAGCCAGCCCAGCCCAGCCTGGTTAGGGGGCCTGTGAAAAGAGGGGTGAGCACAGGGACCAGCAGGCACAGGGTGAGGCGGGAGCGTTTGGCCTGTTCTGAGCGTGGGAATACCACTCAGGGAGGGTCTCACTCAACATGGACTAGGAGGCCGGCGTGCAGAGTGAGCACGCTGGCCGTCTGGAAAACTTGCTCCAGCTGCCGTGCTGGGGTGGTTGTCAGAGGGCAACCTGTGCTATGGCCGTGAGAATGCGGAGCGGATGAATCTTAGAAGTGGAGCCCACAAGAATGTCTACTGGGTTAGATGTGGGGACGAAAGAAGGGGTGGAGTCAGGTCACAGCAGGTGACCCACCCGAGCTCACTGCACAGGCCCTCACCTCATGGGCCCTCGCCACAGATCTCCCCGCAGTCTGCCAGCTGGGACAAATGAGCAGGTAAGGGGCGCGTTGCAAGTTCACCTCAGCTGCAGCACCTTGTCTCCAACACTCCCCCTCCACCCTCTGAGCAGCTATTACTCAGTGTGACCTGAGGACCCAGGCGGACCCTTGGTTGGAGCTGGAATTGGGAGGTCAGGTTCTTTGGGTGGCTGCTCAGTCTTGTAGCACCTGGGCACTCCTGGTGGCAGGTGTTGGCCTGTGGGGTGGGTGTGGGTGGAGAACACCGCCCCCACATGCTTGAGAGATGGAGCTGCAGGTGTCTGCACGCACAGCGACCACTGGCCACTCTGGCCCTGAACGCAGTCCCGGGACAGTTCTTTACTCAGAGAGTTTCAGAGAGAATGGTCAGAGGTTAGGCTTTGATTTTATTGTGTGCACGGATGTGCTGCAAACATTTTGAATTCATGGAATTTAAAATTCTGGAGTTCATAAAAATCAGTTTAAAATTTGGTAAGAAACTGGAAAACAATTTTAAACTAAACACAGTGGCTCATTAAAATGTTTAAAATATTGTTTTTAGATGCTGAATATAGACAAGAACTTTATTCTTGGGAATAAACACTACAATTCCATAGAAAAATAAAAAGTCAAGATATTATTGACCAAATAAACTTCTCTATTAAAACCACAGCGATGCACAGACACCACTCCAAAACATAATACGCTCCCAGGACTCTGGTACCACAAGTACCAACAGGCTACAACACCAGTAACAACTGTCCATAGCCTTGACCTTGAAAACCAATGGCTGCTGTGAAATCATATGACCGAAAGATGGCTCTCACAAAACAAAACACAGGACTACAATCAAGCATAAAAAGAAAACTAGTGTAACTTTATTTGAGAACTCTCTTCATCACAAAGAATGTATACTTTCTTTGTATACATTAACTTTCAACAGATGTACACTTAAAATTATCCTCAATACATGCAGGAATGCAGCAAGTGACCAAGTCGATGTCTAACACAAACAGACTTCAAAATGGTTGCACTAGACCCCAAATTTGACAGCATAACATGACAGGAAGATACCACACTAATGCACACAACCAAGGGAGTATCTGCAGGGGGTCTACAACAGCTCTCCATCCTCAGTTCTCCTCTTGCCGTCCATGTTCATGCTTCATTTTCATCCATTTCTATGGGAGAAGTGCTCCCGGTGGAGCAGGACGAGACACTGGAATACTCGGGAACAGGCGGATGCGCCGGCCAGTTGTGTTCTTGCAAGAGTGATCTTGGAGACATCATGAACAGAACCTCGAAGAACTCCAGGGACTCTCCCTCCTCCTTCTCTATCAGGAACTGGTAGTCGCCAAACCTGACCATGCACTTGTACGGCAGGTCTATTTTATTTAGGTAGCCCAGCTCCTTGTTGTCCACAATCAGACTGGTCTTCTTGCTCATATTTTTAATTTCAAAAGAGAGAACTGAGCTATCAAACTTTTTAAACAGTTGCAGGGAAAACTGAACTCGGGAAACCTGTTTGTCCTGAAAAATATACTGACAGACGTTGGAATTCCGGCCAAATCTCAGCACTTCGCAGGACGGCCGTTTCTCTCGGTTGTGAAACCTTATCGACTGGAATACCCCAGTCTGCATCTGGCCCGGGTGGTAAGCCGTGACCCGGAGGCAAGTCAGGGTCTCGTCCGTGTCAGCATCTTCGAAACTGGACATGATGGCAGCGGAGCCCCGGCGGCTGCAAGAGGCAAGCGGCCCGTTAGTTCCCTCCCTGCGTCAGGCAATGGGAGCTCGAATCTAACAATTTGATGACAATCTTCTGACAGGTGATTTGTTTAGATTTTAAAATAGAAAAGAATACATAGTATACTTTCAATTGTGTGTGAAGTCATATCCCAACCCTGTGAACTGGTGTGTTACCTTTTCCTATCTCTATTTTTCATTTCGGTTTTGAGGAAAAGACCATACAGGTAATCCTGGAATAAGTGTTGATAATAAAGTGGTTCATAGGTTCCTTCTCACTTAAAGAGAATGGCTGAGGCCCAGACAAAGCAACACCTGCACTTTAAAAAGAGAATCGGGAATAAAGAGCTGCTTGGTCGGAATGCCCTCAGCGGATGTGCACATGAAACCTGCCGTTTATGAACTTAGAATTCGATGGATACGAACTGTGAAACCTGAGTAAAGAATTCAAAAGCCATGAATAATTGCAACATTTACCTTTATCCTCGTTTATATTTTTAGTACGTAAATGGTTAAAACAGTAATTTAAAAGGTTATTTTACTCTTCTGGTTTTTTATATTTTTTAAAGACTTTATTTATTTTATTTTATTTTATTACAGAGAGGGAAAGGGGGGAGAAAGAAAGGGAGAGAAACATCCATCCGGGAGAGATAAACTGATGCCTGGCCCACAACCCGGGCATTTGCACTGACTGGGAATCGAACTGGCGACCTTTCAGTTGGAAGGCCGGCACTCAGTCCACTGAGCCACACCAGTCAAGATTACTCTTATGATTTTAAAATTTACACATTACATAACTTTAAAAAATTCCTAAATAGTTCTCAGTAACTCTAAATATGGCCTCTCCTCATACTGGATTATTTATTTATGTCAGTGGTTCCTAATGACTGGACAGACAAACTGTCACTAACCACAAGCAGCACGAACATCTGACAGCCACAGCCAGCTGCACCCCACCTCACTGCGCGCCTCCACAATCAGTGGAGCAAAGCATGTAACACAGTAGGAGAGTTAGTTCCAAAAACCTTTGAGAGGTTATTTTGACACTGACCTACTATTTAGAAACTATTTTAAAACAATTACACGCACATAATCACAAAATTCAAACAGTAGAAAAAGGTTTTTTAAAAAGTATCCCTAGGTGGAGGGTGCCAAAAAGAAAAAACAATCTGGACCACTGTAATAGAGTAAATACTAATAATCACAGAAAGTATCTTCCTTCCTCCATAATACTGCTTGCTCTTGTAGAGTCAGCTGCAGTAAAAGTTGCTTTTACTCTTACAAAAATTCTTCACCACAACAGCCGTAACAGAACTTGCATTTTTGAATTACTAACATGAACACCTGATTTTTCCACAGCTACACATATGAATACACCTCACTTGTTACAAGCTGTGCTGAGACCTCTCACCCAGTGCCCTGGGAAATACTCTCTAACCCTGTGTCTGAGCCTTGGGAATCCAGGGCCTTCGGTGAGGTTGATTGCAACGTCAATGTTTTCTGTTCGCCATCTACAGTAGATATTAATACCAGAGCTTGTGTTAAAAAACAGAATGCTTTACTTTCTTTCTATGGTTCTTGCGATTTACTTTTAATATACAATTCTTTCTTGTTTCCCAAAGTTATGCTGCTAAAAGTCAAACGGTCAATTTATTCAATGAGTGACATAGCTAAGCAAGTTTCTTTGTTATTCGTTTGGGAACACGTTTTAATTCTAAATTTACTTTTGTAATCGACTTGCTTGCACATTATTGAATCATAGTGCATGTGGCTCAAGCAGACCCGACGCCCCGCAGAAAGGAACCTCAAAATCATGGGCCGCTTTGTCGTACAAATTCCTACGAAACCAAAGACGGCAAGAACCAACAACGCGCAAGGGCAGACTTGGCAAATCCATCCTGGACTGCGACTCGACGGCCCTCTAATTAAAATAACCAGCAGCAAGGGAGCCTCGGGGGTGTGCGAATTAGAACCAGCGAGCGCCTGGCTGGAGTCTGGCGCTGCGGAGCGACGCCCGTGTCCCCCACCAGGGAAAAGACTCCGCAGCGGCCCGATACTACTCGTGCCCACTGGTAACTGGGCAGTTGTTGGGCAGCCCCACGGTTGGACAAACCACCGTCTCTGACCTCAAGGAACGCAGACACTGATCTGTTTGGTGCTCAAAGGCAGCTTTTTCAAATCTGACCTAAGTTACCAAAGAAACAAGCGCACCAATGAGCTTCTACAGCGGGGACAGCGGCGCCTCTGCCGAGGGGACCTGGGGACCGGGAGGGAGACTCGCCACCGCGCCCTTGGCACTCGGTACCTCTGAACGCTGTACCACGTGCACCTAATGTCTATTCAAATTTTCAAAAATATTTTCTTCGGAATTCAGTGAAGGTGGAGATCAGCTGAGTATCGGTAACATTGTAAACCCGGACACCTGCCACTAACAGGCTGTAAAACACGGCTGCGGTGTCAACAGTGATCCGTGTCAGCAAACACCTGCAGCGAGCAGATAAGCGGACACCGAGCGGGGCTCTGCTCTCGGAACCGGAGCGCCCCGAAGGCGGGCAGCGGAGCTCCCGCGCGGCGGAGGCGGGACGCGCCCACCTGGGACCTCGGGGGCGGCGTCGGGCCGCGCACCGGCCCGGCCCCCACGGCCGCGGCCCAGCCTCCCGCTCCAGGTCCCGCCGCGCCAGCGCAGACACCGCTCTCCTCGCCTCGCAGACGGGGTTTGGCCTTCGACAGTCGCGCGCGAAAAGCGACATTTCTGGTTAAAGGAGCCAGGTGTCCGCGCCATTTAACAGCCGGGCGCCCCTGCGTGGTCCTGGCGCCGGCATTTCCTCCGCTTTCAGCGTTTGCTTCGTAAAACGAGGCCGACCGACTGCTAACAGGAGTTTGTCCTGGGTGGTGCGCGGGCCCCTCGAGGGGTTTCCCTTCCACCCCGGCCTCCCAAGGGCTTTCCTCTCCCCGACGAACACGCAGCTCCGCGGGGGGACGGGGGCAGGGGCCAGTTCCCACGGTCGCCGCCCTTCCGCGCGCGTGGGCGGCGGGGACCCCGACTCACCGCGGCGGGCGCGCGGAGGCGGCGCCTCGTTCGGGGGCGTCTTCCTTCGCCCGCGGCCGGCGGCTCGCAGGCGTCTGCACCGGGGCCGGCGGGCGGGTGGGCCTCCCGCCAAGCGAAGCCCAGAAAGTCCCGGGAAACCACGGACTCGCCTCCTGCCTAACCCGCAGCCAGAGCCGCTCGGAGACCCCGCGGGCTCCGGCCCTTCCGCCCCCGCGATCCCCGTCCGCGCCCCGCCCCGCGCGGCCCGCACCGCCCACCACGTCCGTCCCCACCTCGACCCTCCCGCCTCCCAGGCCCGGCTGCGGCGGGGCTGCGCCTCCGCTCCCGAGCGCGCCCTCCGGGGAGGCTGTGCGGGGAGAGCCGGGCTCCGAGAGGAATCGGAGTCGCTCCGCCTTAGGGCGACTCCGCGCCCTGCGCCCCGCAACCAGCGTCCGCCTGGGACGGGGTGCGGGGAGCGGGGAGCGCAGCTGGTCGCCCGGCAGCGAGGCGCCCGGTGCGCTCCGTCTCCTCCGAGGTCCGGGAGGGAGAGCAGGTCCCCTGACAGATGAGCCGCCCAGGAGCCCGCACCTGACCCCCCGCCGCCCCGTTACCCGGAGCGGGGCCCACGCGGGGCTGGGCGGGCGGTGCGGGGGCAGCGAAAGCGCTCCGACCTCGGGGAGAAGGGGGGTTAGTTAGGGTGCGGATGCGGGTGTGGGTGCGGGGTGGGACGGGCGGGTGGGGGCGGCTCTGGCCTCACCGAGCTGGGTCAGGTGCGGTCAGCGGTGACGCCTGGGGAGGGAAGGTGTGTCCGCCAGGGGCGCGGGTTCTGGTCGTTAATCATCCACAGGTGTTATTGCTTCTCTAACAGAAAGACCGCAAGAGTCTCAGCTTCCTCTGGGGGCGCAGGAGGAAGACGGGAGTTCGACTGTCAGTAAACTCACACATTAAAATGATGTTATCAGAATTGGAATTTCTGATCTCTAACCTTTGAAATGAAATACATGGCAATGCGTATGCCTCAAAGGACCGATTAGCAGGCGTTATTGCTGACAGTTATAGAGAAAGTGCAGCAATAAAACTCGTGATGCTGGTTTTTTCCCTGTTTCCTTTACGATGAAGTATTTGATTTACTAAATGCCCCCAAATGAGACTTTGAATAAACCTTCAATTCCAGAGCAGAACCTCGTCTCAGTACTGGTTTTCGCCTCTGGCAAATGGTTAAACAAAATGGGCCTTAAAACTGAACACGCCAAGGAAGATGAGGAAGAGCAAAGCTGAGGAAGAGCACAGCGGACGTTGGGAGTTTCTGTTCCCCGAGGCAGCTGCCTGACCCCGTGTTCCCCTTTTCACCCTCAGGCACACAGACCAACGAAGTGGGGGCTGGGGGAGGGAATGCGGGGTGGCTGGGGGGGGGGGGGGCAAAGGGGGAAAAGCTGAGACAATCGTAAAGTATAATCGGTAAAATATATAAAAATAAAAGGACACGTACCGTTCAGCTCAATGTTATGTGAAGCTAGGTGCAAAACATTAGTAATAAAGATCAGAATAGAAAAAAAAAAGAAAAGAAAAACCTGAGGCGCAGAGTTTGCAACTGTGGCTTCCACAACTTCCTGAAAATTGACAAAAGGCTCAGAAAACGTCTAAAAGCTTGGAAGGCCCAGAGCCAAGAAGAAACAAGGCCATTTTTTTCCTGTAATTTTAATTTACTGAGTTTTCTGAAGATACTCAGGATTTTTAAAGAGTTTATTTATTAATTTTAGGGAGAAAGGAAGGAAGGGAGAGAGAGGGGGAGAGAAATATTGATGTGCAAGAGATACATAGAATGGTTGCCTTTCACACACCCCCAGCTGGGGACCGGGCCCCAACCCTAGCATCGGCCCTGACTGGGAATGGAACCAGTGACCCTTACGTTCACAGGCCTGCGCTCAACCTACCGAGCCACACCAGCCAGGGAATCAACGCTGTGATTATAAATGAGACATCGTTTCTTCCTGTTTCCTTGCCTCTGAGGAACGCCCCCCCCCCTTCACTGTGGGAGCAGCTGTGACTGTTCTCCAAACGGGGAGGGAGACAGCCTCTCCTCAGCCCCTTTCCTGGTGGGGACCAGCAGCCTTCCCTCTCCATCCCCAGGAACCCTCTCCCAGGCCCCAGGATGTTCGGGCCCACCCCCAAACACCGCATTTCTAACTTTTTTGCTCACCAACCCTCAAAAAGAATTTTATAAAAACAGTAACTTCCTCATGCATTTTAAGTTAATATTCATCTTTTGTCATAACTTTAAATAGTTGGAAAGGATCTAAGTCAGATGTTTAATAACTTGTAAATGTTTCCAGTGAAGATTATATGTTAGTGATTTGATACCCACTACCATCCATTTTAAAATTCATGTACAAATTCTTGCACACATAAAAGCTTATCAGTTGGAGATTTCCTATCACTCTTTTATCTCCTTCAAATTTCCTGGTTCCTCCATAGTATTTTCTCCTAATATTAAGTAGTTGATATGCTTGTAAGTTTTCTTTATCATATTTCTTCACAGTAAAATCACGTGGACAATGAATGTAACATTTTTACTTCCTCTGGCCACAGACTCTAAGTATTAAAAATGTGCAATACTGACTTATACATTACAAGTATTATGAATTCATAAAAATACATTCATAAAAATGCATTTCTTCTCAGTGAGACAGGGTTTTCTTTTACAAATACTATGGATGAATGTTACTGGTAGCTAAAATAAAACCACACCACGGAAATACATGCAGAGAAGCTCTTCACGAAAGTCAGTGGAGACAGCTTAGTCACAGCAATGTCATTCAGTTATTTGAACTCCTAAGGTCATATATTAAGAATTACACAGTGAACTACTATAAACATGTTTGAAGTGTTACAAATACGGAGTGCTGTGGTTAGTACTTCAGTATATGGCTGAGCACCTGAGTATTTCCTCATCTTCTTCTGTTTGGAAGCAGAATTGGGAACCACCCAATCTGCCTTGGAATTTGTTACCCAGTTGTTAGGGTTGGGGTAATGGACCAGAAAGGCTTCTGCTGGGCTTCCCGAATTCCTCCAGTGAAACCCCTCACTGCTTCACCAGAGAGCACCCTTTTTAACCCAGCAGGGTTAGAAAGGATCAGAAAAGATAAAACACTGTTGATGTCAATAACTTTTCCATCAGAGCCAAGAGTCTTGAGTGGGAATGTGGTCGGCAGATGGACAGACTTGAGCAGAGCAAGGAGATGGGCCAGGCACAGAAGTTGGGGGGCAGGGAGGCCGGGGGCAGGGGGCGGAAAGCCCCAGGTGCCTAGCAACGGGCAAACCCCCACAGCAAGGACCTGGCCAACAGGGTGGCCTTTCCTCCCCCAGCGCACCTCCGGTCATGTGATTTGACAGACCCTTGACCTTTCATGTCTCTGGTCAGGCGTGTTGCTTGTCATGAGGGTTAGACCGGAGAGCAGCCCTTAGGCATGAAGCCCCCAGGACAATGAGGTTCTGACCCGCGTGCAATACTTTGAGGCCTCAGCGGTGTTTCAGCTCCAGGCCCAGAAAAGCAGCAAAACTGGACAAGTGACCCTGCGGCCGACGTCAGGACCAGCGGCACTGACTCATGTGTGACCCCTGTCCCGGCCCGGACGATCAGCAGAGACCAGACCCTGGAAGGACACACCTGGACATGGAGAAATACCCTATAGGGACCCTCCCCTGGGACCTCCAGATGAGGACCCTTGTGTGGGTCCTGCGAGGTTCTCCCTGTGGAGCAGGCCTGGGTCCTTCCTCACCCCGGCCCCTGACTCCCCCTCCCCCCTCCCCCTTCTCCCCCCTCCCCCCCTCTCTACAAGAGCGCTTCTTTCGCTTTTCTCACTTGTTTCTTGAGCCCATTTCTTCTACAGCTCACTTTCTAAATAAACTTTGTCTTATAGTTTGAAAAAAATCATTACTTCAATAGAATACGATAAACATATAAAATCATCTCATATGCTTTTGATTTTTTTTCTGGTCAAAATGTGTAGCCCAGACTCAGACTGTTGATAAAGGGCACGTCTACCATGGAGCTCAGTCAGACAGTCCCCACTTTCCCAGCAGCTCGATGAGATTTCTGTAAGAAAAACCCTGCCTTCATTTTTCACTTCAGATACACCTGGTCACATGTGTGTCCATGTGACAACGAGCTCACGTCTACACTCTAAATCCATCTAGTTCTGGAGTGGCTCGGTCACTGGCTCGAGCCTTAATGAGAGTCTGCTTTTTGATGACACATCAGAACATGTCGTGTGCCTTGTTCCTCACTGACATTCTCTTTCCTCAGTGGTCAGGGGGCTGATTCTCCATTCTACGCCCAAATCACGAGCTTTCTTGCACTCTGTTTAAAAGAAGGAACTTCCTGTAGTAATACAACTCCCAGAACACCCTTCGCCAAGTGACCCCTGAAGGGTGTGTCTTAAGGTACAAAACTGCTGGGAATTACACGATCATGTGACAGTGACTGGCTTTGTTTTCTTCCACATTTCTACTTCCTGGTACCAAAGCTGTTTATGAGAAACAGTATTTCAAGGAGGTTGTGCTGCATTAACTTTCTTCAGAGTGTTTTCGTCTTCTTCAAGACAAAAGTGAGTATCAACCTTTAAATGTCAAAACTCAGTAGATGTGGGTACAAAACATGGCATAACATGTGTGGTATATAAGCTACTGATCGGGGTGACTCATTTCAGACATTGAAATTTTGAGTTGTGTGCTTCGTTTAATGTGAATTAAAATGATAATTATATTGAAGCCACAACATCATAGATGTTATTGCTCAGAAAGATGTTAAGTAAAAAGAGAATGAGCCAGTTTATTATTGATTTCATGGAAATGATTAAATAAATACTATTACAGGTAATATGCAGGTATAGTAAACACTGAAGGTGACCTGTGAATGCCTAAAGTTTTTGAAGTGCTGCACTGGTTTGTTTGTGAGGTGCAGGTTTTCTGAAACAGTGTGGTGTGTTTGAACTTCGCTGGCCCTTGGTTACAGAGCTTAATTGATTAATACAATCTGTTGAATTTCCTAATTGTTGGCAATGCAAGGAACATTCAAACCTGTAGAGAACTGAGTGAGTTTATTTGAGCCAAACTGACAACAGTTGCTGGGAAGCAAAACCTCAGTGGATTGAGGAAATGCTCCAGGGACTGGCACTTCTGCAGCGTATGTTATACATTACAGTCAAAGGAGAGGATGGTAAGGCGGTTCCCTGAAATCCACTGGAGGTGGACAAAGTAAATGAGGGGAACCTCTAGGATTCGATAAAAAGTAAAATGATAGACAAATATGAGGTCTGTCCAGAAGGTATCCAGCCACATACTATAAAAAATAGAGACATTTATTGAAGAAGATACAAGAAACATTGTACATAGGACAATGACGCCTCAGTACCCTTCAAAGCAGGCACCTTGGAACCTCCCACAGCTGATGGTTTTCTCAATCACCATCAGCTACCCTGTCATATTTTTCTGAAGCTCATTGATGGTCTGAAGTCTCTTCCCTTTCAAAAGTGATTTTAGTTTTGGGAAAAGCCAGAAGTTGCAGGGCGGCAACTCTGGGGTGTAAGTGGGCTGAGTCACCTGGGTGACTCGATGTTTCGCCAAAAAACTCTGCATGAGACATGATGCATGAGTAGGCACATTGTCATAATGAAGCTGCCAATCACCAATTGCCCATAGCTGCCACCTTCTGAATCATACAAATAAGTTTCCACAGAGGAATGTTCAAGCTTAATCCAAAATCTGATGCAGATTTGTTGCTCAACTCGCTGTCATTCCGAATGAGAAGAGGGGAGGGGGGATGGGAGCGCCATGTGACTGCTAGTTGACCCGCTGACCTAGGTTCATGAGTCACGTCCACGCAGAGTGTACTGGTATTCAGGTGTCATATCTTTGTCAACACTCCTATCGCACCCCAGGGTGCACGGTGTCAGGGGCTCGGCTGGGAGTGTGTCCCCTCCTATACAAGCACCAAAATGCCTGCGGAGTTACCAGCGAAGTCCTGTCCTTTCATAATGTCTCTCCTTTCTGAAAAAGAAACACTTAGATCCTCATTGCGTGTCCTTTGCTTTGGCCACTTCTCCACAATAACGTAATAGTGCAAGTGTAATTTTTATCGTTATTGAAACATTATCGGTTTTGAGACGATGAATTAGTGATTTTTTTCTATAATGACATCCAAGAAGATTAGTGGACTTTTACTGAGATTGAGTTTAAAAAGATTATTGACCAGGTAGATAATATTCATCACTGTTTCAGTGTTTCACAGAAATTTTACATTTCTTTTGGTCATTACTAAGTCTTGTGATTTATTTAGATCTTTCTGGGTCCTGAAAACAAAACGTTTCTTTTCCCTCCTAAGTAAACAAATGCATTAACAAGGGTTCTCGTATTCCTGTGCTATTATGAGCAACCAGAAGAGGGCGGCAGAGAGGCGCTGGAAAGACAGGCAGTTCACAGGCCCTTGAACCACAGAAAAGGTCAGGCTGGGGTGGGGGTGAGGGGTAGAAAGTTCCGCGGGGCTTAAGCCTAATTAACTCGCTCATTCTCTGGGCCAGTGACTGGGACTGAACATTGTCACAGAATTTTCGGAAAATCTGGTGATATCCTTAAAAATGCAATAAGGTGATGAATTTGTGGAAATTTCTAAGAGTGATGACTGACTCCAAGAGATTTTTACATCAGAAGTTTACATCAGTTTGAAGGTAAAAGATTAAAGGGTGAACACGTGTGCGCACATTCCTGCCCCTTCAAGAGCACAGGCCGAGAATCTCACAGTCACAGAGACAATAAAGGGCATCGCACCTTCTCTGAACAGTACAGATGTTGCTGAAATACAAGGAAATATTTTTGGCTGACTTATCAAACACACAGTATGCAACCAATAGGCTTAAGCGAGTAAGAGAGGTTGCCCAGATTCAGCCAATACCTCCTTTTGTAAACACTGAACAACCACGAATATTTCTTGAGCACCTCACTGGGAGTGACTCCAGATACCAAATGCCCCAGGCTGACGGAGGAGCTGATATCACAGTGGGAAAGATACACATCTTTCAACCTCACAATTAACTCATGAGTCACACTTGAGAGAAAAGTGGGAAGTAGGGCCCCAAGTCAATTAGCTTGGGTTGAACCCCCAAATTGGAAATTACGTGAAATTAAAAATAGGACTCAAGAACAGCTTAAGTTCTTACTGCCCATTTATATTATTTATTTAACAATAAATAAAATGGATAAGGTAAAACTTATGGGTTTCTGAAAATAGCGCTGCAGAAGAGAATTGGGGTAGCCAGCAGGCAGCAGTAAACCGCGCTGCGCATGTGAAGCCTTGTGAGATGCCTGCTGGACCTCCTCGCTGTGCTCGGACTGTGTCAGTGGTCAGAGGTCCTGCCTGAGCACACAGGTGTCCGTAGGAGCCCTACTTCCTCCTTGTCTTTCACCGTCACAGACATCTCCCCCCCTCCTCCCCCGTTTGCCCGGGCTCAGCACCTGCTGCCAGCTCCTTGAGCCTCCTCTGAGTCTAGCCCCTGGCTAAAAGATCGTCTGTATTTTTATAGCAGTTTAGGTGGTTTGTTCCTTTGCCCCCAGTTACATGTACTTTTCAGACCAGGAAGAACCGAGAAGACCCCCACAGACTCTGTGAGGTTCCATCGCTGATGCACCGCCGCTGGCTCACCCACCCTCTCCTCTGTCTTCGTTATTGTCCCTGCACTTCTGCCCAAAGCTGTTTCCATCCAGATCTCTGTTTCAGGTCAACTCACTGCCACCCTCTGTCCCTGATTTCAGTCTGTTTGACTCAGGATACTGCGTTGTCCATGGTGACCGCTCTGATTCTCTCCAGATCATTAGTGACTCCTTTCTCCTCCTCTTCTACTTCAGAGGAACAATGTTCTATGTACATCTTAGTCTATTCCTTCTGCTTTCTCAAACCAACCCCTTTTTATTGGGTTGGCCAAAAAGTCTGTTACATTTTTTCTGAATGATGGTTCTAGTAACACTTACTTTTCTTTAACCTCATTCAAAACAATTTTGTTAGATTGTATTGTGACAGCTGTCATATCAACGTGTGCTTTTTAAGAAAAACTTATTGAAATTGTTGAATTTTTGTGTACCATTATAATATTGAAGATGAAAGAAGGCACACAACATATTATGCTTTATTCTTTCAAGAAAGGTAAAAACGTAACTGAAATGCAAAAAAGATTTGTGCAGTATATGGAGAAGGTTCTGTGGCTGATCAAATATGTCAAAAGTGGTTTGTGAAATTTCTTGGTACTATTGATATTTTGGCCAAATAATTCTTTCTCTGGGGCTGTCTTGTGCATTGGAAGCTGCTTAGCTCTACCCCTGGCCTCTCCCCACTAGAGGCCAAGAGCAGAGAGAGCCAACATGCTCAAAATATTCAAATCAATAAAGTTATTGGTGAAAATGAAAAACATGTGTTTTCTTTAAAGAAAAAATGTTAACAGACTTTTGGGCCCACCCAATATCTCTTTTGTGATTTTTATCATCATTTATATTCCCTCCCTTTCATCTTTTCTTCTTTTTTGCCTTCTAATCTTCTCCTTAGCCTGTACATGTTGAAATCTAATGCTTCTTATGAAACATTCATTTCCCAAGAGACTGTATTTCCTCTTGTTTCTTCCTGTAATAGCAGTGCTTCTGAGAATAGTGGTCTACACTTACCCCTTTCACTTTGTGGTCCAGCCCACATTTGTCCATCAGCTTCTGCTCTGCCCTGCTTTTGAGTGTCTGTTCACAAGATCAGGGAGAATTTCCCAGGCTTCACCCTGTGGCTTCCTGTACATGTGTTCCCAGGGCCCTGCCCCCCCCTTCCTCACTCTTCCATTTTCAGCTGCTTCTTTCCCACAGGCAATGTTCCCCTGTGTGTCTCCTTGGTCCGGGAGTTCCCCAGAAGTCGGTGTCTTCTGTCTCCTTCAATCTCAGGTAGTGGCTTCAGTGATCAGCCCTGCGTGGGTGCTTCCCACATTGAGCTCGCCTTCCCTGCCTTCTGCAGACAGCTCCACGCGTCTCCCTGGGCGCGTCCAAGGGAACTCAAGGCCCTGGACCGCCTGCTGGTCCAGTCACTCTCTGAGGTCCTCATGCACCTTGGCTTCCTGTGTGTGTGAAATGCATCCACTTCCGTGTCCCTGGGCCCTGCCTCTCCCATTTTTTTTCAAGTCCGCAATCCTGCCCCATCAAAGTTTGTTTAGCCCTCTGAACAAACAGTAACAACTAAATCTCCCCATCGCTCACCCATGCTTTGCTAGGCATTCGGCCACATCTGGTCATGCTCAGTCCTGGGTGTGGGGTGCACTTTTGTCCATCATCTCCATGAAGTCCTGAGCCTCCGGGACTGTGCCAGTCTGCCTGCATCCCTGCCTACCCGGCACACGGCAGACCCTGTGGAAGTATTGGATAATTTGTGTTGGAAGAAAAAGGCCATGAAGAGCTTAATTCTAAAGCATCCTTAGTTCTGAAAAGCATGGAATTTATAATATGCAGGCTACAAATTTTGCAGAATATAGAAAGTAAACAAGCAAATTTATATCAGATAAAATAGGCTTTTTTTTGCCTTTGTCCAATT